CCTCGGCTGCGTCTGCTCTGGTCGCTGAGTTGGTTGACTTTGCTGCTGCCTGTCGTCTAGACTACGCTGCTAGCCTTGTTGCTGAGTCAGAGTCTGCGTCTGTCTGTCCTCCGTCCGTCGGGGGTGAGTGTGCTCTTGGCACGGACGTCCTTGAGGACAGGCAGGAGGACTTTGACTCTCTTGCGGCTGCTGTACCTCATCTCGTGGCCTGGTTGCTTGCCCCTGAGGGAGACCCGGATGCACTAGACATCCCCACTCCGCGCACTTACGCAGAGGCGATCTCGGGTCCCTACTCCTCTCAGTGGCAGACAGCCATGGACGCAGAGATGGCATCCTGGAAGTCCACAGGCACCTACGTCGACGAGGTTCCCCCTCCTGGGGCGAACATCGTCGATGGCATGTGGATTTTCAGGGTGAAGCGGCCGCCAGGTTCTCCGCCTGTCTTCAAGGCTCGTTACGTTGCTAGAGGCTTCAGTCAGCGTCAGGGGGTCGACTTCTTCCAGACCTTCTCCCCCACCCCGAAGATGACCACTCTTCGGGTTCTGCTGCATGTTGCTGCTCAGCGTGACTACGAGCTTCACTCTCTTGACTTCAGCACAGCGTTCCTGCAGGGCAGCCTGCACGAGGAGATCTGGCTGCGCCGTCCACCTGGCTTTACTGGGTCGTTTCCCCCTGGTACCCAGTGGAGTCTCCGCCGGCCAGTCTACGGTCTCCGCCAGGCGTCACGTGAGTGGCACGACACACTGAGGACTACACTTGCGGCTCTTGGGTTCGCGCCGTCTACTGCTGACCCGTCGCTGTTTCTACGCACAGACACGTCGCTGCCGCCGTTCTACATTCTCGTGTACGTCGACGACTTGGTCTTTGCTACTGCTGACACTGAGGCACTTGCTCGTGTGAAGTCGGAGCTGCAGAAGAGACACACCTGCACTGACCTGGGTGAACTGCGTAGCTACCTTGGCTTGCAGATCACCCGGGACAGAGCTCGCCGCACCATCACCCTGACTCAGTCACACATGGTGCAGCAGGTCCTTCAGCGCTTCGGCTTCCAGTTCTCCTCACCACAGGCCACACCTCTGGCTACCAGCCACTCGCTCTCAGCTCCACCTTCGGACGAGTCCGTAGAGCCGAGTGGCCCGTACCCAGAGCTTGTAGGCTGCCTCATGTACCTGATGACTTGCACGCGACCTGACCTCGCGTACCCTCTTAGCATCCTTGCTCGTTACGTTGCGCCTGGGAGACACAGGCGAGAGCACTGGGAGGCTGCTAAGAGGGTGCTGCGTTACCTGTGCAGTACATCAGGCATGGGGCTGGTGCTTGGAGGACGTGACAGAGTTGTCCTCACTGGTCACTCGGACGCTTCTTGGGTGGACGACCTGGCTACGCAGCGGTCGTCACAGGGTTACACCTTCAGCCTTGGCTCCGGTTCTGTCTCGTGGCGGTCCACCCGCTCTTCCTCTGTTCTCGGCTCTAGTTGTGAGGCTGAGATCTACGCCACAGCCATGGCTGCACAGGAGTTACGCTGGCTCACCTACCTGCTGACTGACTTGGGAGAGCGGCCTAGTTCTCCTCCAGTTCTGTACGGTGACAACAAGGCGGCTCTTGCCTTGTGTCAGGAGCACAGACTGGAGCACAGGACGAAGCACATTGCTCTTCGCTACTTTCTTGCTCGAGAGCTTCAGCAGCGCGGTCAGCTTCGGCTTGTGTACGTGGACTCGAAGGCCAACACTGCTGATATCTTCACCAAGGCGCTCCCGCCTAGTGATCATCAGCGGCACTGTACTTCTTTAGGCCTTGTGTCCACGTTTCCTCACTTGCTCACTGCTTGACATTCTTTGTACTGTACTTTATATATATCTTGTTGCTTGCTTGCTAGGTTTTGATCACTGTGTTGCTTGTCTTGTACTATATCTAGCACTGCATGTGAACTGGCCTTGTGGCCTTTACTTGTGCTCGGAGTGTGGTGACGTTGTGATCCACCCTGGGCTTTGCTTTGCTTTGCTGGACTGGTCTTGTGACCCTTTGTTCTCCCCCACTTTGCCTATGGGGGTGTGTTAAACTGTATTATGCTTGTAGGCTGTAGTGGGGTAGCCAATATGGGGTACAACCCCAACTAGGGTTTCATATTTGTACCCAAACTTCTGCTAGTTCAATCATTCTTGCCTAGCTATTCTGAAACCTTGCATCCATGGCGCTCGCCCTTGGTGCGACGGCGCGCTCTTTCAGCCATCAACTTTTGACACTCATTAATGAGGCGCCATCATGGAATGCACGAGTGACCCTGACCTCGGAAGTTCGCGACGAGCTACAATTTTGGTCTGACCACTTCGACCATTTTAACGGGGCTCCTTTTCACATGCCCCACAGTCTGGACACGGTCATTCACGTCGACGCTAGCGCACACAGTTGGGGTGCAACCCTTTCATCCTTCCCCGGCGGAAGCTCGCAAGGAAGCAGCCCCATGCCAAAAGAACTTCTCTCCACATCGAGCACACGCCGAGAGCTCGAGGGAGTGCTATGGGCACTGCAGACGTTCAAGGACCAGATCCAAGGTCGCCGCGTACTCATGCGAGTAGACAACCAAGGCGTCTTCTTCATTCTGCGCAAAGGCGGCTCTCGCCAGCCTGAGCTCACTCTTCTGTGCAAGGCCATCGTCGCAATTTGCATGGCGCACGAAACCCGTCTGGCCATCGAATGGATTCCACGTGCTCTCAATACGCATGCAGATGCACTGTCCAAATTGGAAGACCACGACGACTACTCGCTCAAGCTCCCCTGGTTTCGATTATTGGAAAGGCGTTGGGGATCACACACCATCGACCTATTCGCCAATGCCAACAACGCACAGCTCCCGCGCTTCTGCGCTAAACATCCGCACCCACGTGCAACTGCCATAAATGCATTCTCGCTCGATTGGGGATTAGAGCACGGCTTCGCGTTCCCGCCGCCGAACCTCATCCCAGCGACCTTGCACCATGCCGCACGCACGAACGCCACGATGACACTAGTCGTTCCCGAATGGACAGGCGCTGCTTGGTGGCCCCTAATCAGACCTTCCCCACACACCTGGGCAATCGGCATCTCCTCCATCCTCTACCTTGCTAGTGGTAGTCAATGCTTGCATGTGGGCTCCCATGAACATGCATTCTCGGGTGCTGGTCTTCCAGTCAGTCGTATCTTAGCACTGAAATTCAATTACAAACCTTGATGTACCATTCTTGTATCCTATGATTACAGATATGCTTCCAAGGTTGCATCACCAGCTACTTCTTATGACAGCCAAGACACGATCGGAATCAACAATCAACACATACGAACCGTACTGGGAGAAGTTTCGCAGCTTTTGCATGAAGGCCAAAGTGGATTTCTTGCCTGCCGCAGATCTCACGCTTGCACTCTACTTAGTGCACGCAATCAACCACCAGGCCACAGTCTCCAGCGTACAGCTCACATGCGCTGCAGTCAGCTTTGCCCATCGCATGACAGGGTCAGCCAACCCAGCGAACGGCCCGTTCACAACGCAAGTCCGAGAGTACGCCAAACGACACTGCCCTCGGCCTACACGAGTGAAAGAGCCCGTCTCCCTCCATCAAGTCCAGGCAATGGCGGGGCCTTTTCTCCAGTCACGCGAACCCGGCACCTACCAGAAGGGCCTCATCGTGCTGCTCATGTACTCGGCCTTCCTTCGCTTCTCGGACCTGGTGTCCATCCAGTGGGAGGACATCCAGTTCGAGGCTACGGCAATGTGGCTCCTAATTCCGCACTCCAAAACCGATCAGGAGAGCAAGGGCGTATGGGTCCCCGTTGCCGCGACTGACGGACCATTCTGCCCCGTGCGGTGCACCAGGCACTTCATCAAGCTGGCACAGTACGGGCCAAAGACCAAAGGCCCGTTAATTCGTATTTTTCGACGCAACTTCCCGCCATCCTCGCAGGATACCGCCCCATCATACCCCACTGTCCGCACGTGGTGCTTGCAGGCATTCCAAGCAGCCGGCATCGACCCTACAAACCTCGGCACCCATTCATTCCGCAAAGGGGCAGCAACAGTTGCAGCGAGTACGGGCATCCCGGACCGCCTTTTCAAAAGACTGGGGCGATGGCGGAGCGAAACCGCAAAGGACCTTTATGTCACCATCTCCCACGATCACCTCCTTGCTGCGTCGCGGCGCCTTCACGATCAGGCGCACGTTCCGTCCCCCTCGCAGCATGAGCGTGCCCTTACTCGACACCGCCAACAAGCACTCACCATGTCTCAGAAAACCCAGTTGAAATGAGACGTTGCATTTGCAAAGACAAATAGCAAGCCTTCACAATATGTAAATTTTTGAAAGTGTGTAACACTTTCTAAAATTGTGTATTGTGAATAGCGAAGATATTTGTACCGAAGCAAAATGCTTCGGCGAACCGCTACTTCCCCTCTTTTTCGGTATAAAAGAGGGGGCGAAGGCCATTTGGCCTTCACCCACGTTTTTCATTTCAAACTTTCAGTTTTCAAGTTCCCCACCCTCCCACCCTAGTATAGTAGAGAATTCATCGTTGTTACTATGTAATATGCTTGGACGATAAAAAATCTTGTACTTGCCAGTTGAAATGAGACGTTGCATTTGCAAAGACAAATAGCAAGCCTTCACAATTCTCTCCTTTGTGTAAGGGAAGGCCAATATACCTTCATGCCACTATGCTAAAACGGAAACATAAAAAGTTCCTGGCACCAATATCTCTTCACACAGCTCTGGTACATGACTCTTTTTATTTAATGTTTCTTGTTTCCCTAGACGAAAAATCTCTTGGGTTTAGATGCTACAGGCCCTGCCACACCATGGTCAGAAAGTAGGGCGCACGAATAGAGCATGAAAACAAAAGGCATCAACAACTGACCACTTGAAAAACACACATCCCACCCTCCCGGCCACCCCCCCTTCCCATAACACATGCAGACATCCATCAAGAGCCCACGATTCCACAAAGGGACGAACTGAAATGAGAACAAAACACGAATGGAGATTGTGGTGTATTGATGTTTCAGAATAAAAAAAAAGGGTGGTGGACACTCTCGCAACAAAAAACTGTGTGGGAGTGTACAAAAATAGACAGACATGGGAGGGACAGGAGGAGGAGGAGGAGGAGGAGGAGGAGGAGGAGGAGGAGGAGGAGGAGGAGGAGGAGGAGGAGGAGGAGGAGGAGGAGGAGGAGGAGGAGGAGGAGGGGGAGGAGGAGGAGGAGGAGGAGGAGGAGGAGGAGGAGGAGGAGGAGGAGGAGGAGGAGGAGGAGGAGGAGGAGAAAAGGGAGATTGACCGTGCCATGTCAATCAGTTGTCATGCCACACCATGCTACGCCATGCCCCATAAATCGCCATGACATGATTGTAATAAGACGTGATCCTGTAACCTACCTGCTGAAGGCTCACTGCCCTTTATTCCACCTTCAACCTCACCCCCACTCGATCCCGCCTCTGTCTGCTTCTGCTGCTGCTTTCCTTCATCTCCTGCTGTCTCCTCCCCAACCCCTGCTTCTCCATTTTCTCTCCGCTCTTCCCCATCCTCTCCCTCTCCCGCTCCTTCCCCTTCGCCTTGTTCCCCCGCTTCCCCTTCCCCCTCGTCCTTCCCCGCCAACGCCCTGATCCTCTCCGCCAGCCCCCATCCCGCCTTCCCCGCCTCTCTCCGCATTTCCGTGCGCAGCCGCCTTAACTCTCCGCGGATCTCCGCCTCCGCCCTGCGCGCAGCTTCCGCCGAACGCCGCTCCGCTTCCAGAAGGTCCGCCTGCAGATGCGCCTCCGCAAGGGCTTCCGCCAGCGCCCGTTGCGCCTCCCCCAGCGCGCGCCTTTGCGCGGAGAGATTAAGCGCGAGCACGCAGCACGAAGCCGCGAGCACCATTCCGCCCAGCGACTCCCGCCGCGCCCACACGCGCTGGCGGAACGACATCTGCGCGCTCGGAGGTGGGGCCAAGGTGGCGATTGGAGGAGGGGAGGGGGGTTCAGCGACAAGGCGGTTCCCGCGGAGAGGAGTCAAGAAGCACAGTCGGCAACCGCAAGTTCCGGAGAAAGGCGGAGCGCCAAGCTCCGGAGAAAAGCGGTGCCCGCAAGTCCGGGAAAAGGCGGCGCGCGCAAGTTTCGGGAAGTCCGCAGTCCGCGGGTAGGCGGCGTCCGCAGGAGGAGGACCCGCCCGCGATCAGATTTGATTCGACGCAAGTTAGTACGGATTCGTCCGCCAGGCGCAGCAGCAGTGCAGGCACGGAAAGCCTAGGCGATTCGATCAGACGAAACTGACATGAGATATGAGATAGTGATACGCGGGTTGAGTTGAGTTTGGTCGATTTGCCCCGAGTTGCGAAACTGGGGTTATGTTTTCCGCAACCCGCTGCAAAGGTTCCACGCACTGAGGACGACATGCGAGAAAACAGGTGGAGATTTGTGAACGAAGAGCTGCGTAAGAACCTTCTTCATTTCGCGAATTGGTTCCGAACCTAGATTGCGTTGCGATTCTGGAACGCCAAATGGTGCCTTTGAGACTGGTGTTTCCAGAAAGTTCGATCATTGCGCTACTTCATCTGAACATATTTTGTAACATTGGCCACGCCCTAACACTTTCTTGCCAGCCCATTTTATCCAGCGTGATACAAGGCAGGATCAACTAGCGATCAGTTTCTAGTCTCCGAGGCATTCGGTTTCTAGAAGTCATCCCTCGGATTTTAGAGCCAGGCTTGAGTGCAGAACTGCAGCAGGCCGGCGCAAGTCCTCGTTCTTATTCGATTACACCAGGAAAACGCGTCCGTGCGTTAGGCACCCACGCACAAGCACTGCAAGCAAAGTCGTAGAAGTCAGCGATCATATTATCGGTTGGTGGTGTTCGGTATCGTCAGGCGCTCAAGCTGGTGTAAAAAATTGCACCAATTAAGAGCCGTTTTGCGCTGGTGTGATCTGAACGCTCTTTACTTCAAACTGGTCCGTCCGTTTTTCGATAAATAGCATGGGAACTCCCGAGGGAGATGATGGGAATGAGGTGGCTTATCAGCCAGCGGATGCTGCTGATGACGTGGGAGAAGTAACAGAAACGGACGGCGGCGATATGCCGGCGAAGGATGATGACAAGAGTAAGAAGGACAGAGAAAGGAGGAAAAGCAGGGATAAGGATCGGGATAAGGATCGGGAGAAAGGTCGGGACAAGGACCGGGATAAGGATCGAGGCGATAAAGAGAAGGAGCGATCGGAAAGGCACAGGGACAGGAAGCACAAGGAGAAAAGCAAGGAGAAGGAGAAGGAGAAGGAGAAGGAGAAGGAGAAGGAGAAGGAGAAGGATGAGAGGAAACGTGAGAAGAAGGATGAGGAGAAAGGGGGTGGTTTGGCGGAGGGGCGTAAGGAGGAAGGAGGGGAAGGAGAAGGAGGAGAGGAGGGAGAATTGAAGGAGGAGGGAGAAGCAGGGGAGGCGAAAGACAGGGGAATAGAGGACAAGGATAAGACTAGGGTTAAGGAGAAGGAGAAAGAAAGGGAGAAGGAGAAAGAGAAATCGAAGGACAAGGAGAGGGACAGGAAGAGAGATAGGGAGAAAGAGGAGAAGCGGGAGAAGGACAAAAGCCGAGATAAGGAGAAGGAGAGGGGACGGGACAAGGATAAGCATAAGGAAAAGGAGAAGGATAAAGAGAAGGCGAAGGATAAGGAGAGGGAGAAAGGGGACAGAGACAAGAGCAGGGACCGCGAGAAAGAGAGACATAAGGAGAAGGACCGAGGCGCAGCGAAAGATAAAGATGTGTGGAAGAAATCGCCGGAAGCGGACCGTCCCTCCCGCCGAAGGCGTTCCCGCAGCCGCTCCCGCTCCCCCCGCCTCCTGCGCTCCCGCTCGCGCTCCGCCTCTCCCGCGCGCGCCGGCGGAAGGCGCGCGGGGGAGTTCGCGGGCGCGCGCGGGCACGGGAAAGGGGGGCACGCGCGCAGGGGGAGCGAGCGGCGCTCGCGCCACCACCGATCGCGGTCGCGATCGCGCAGCAGATCTAGATCTCGATCCGATTCGTTTAGCCTCTCCTTATCTAGATCGCGATCGCGATCGAGATCGCCGAATCAGGAGGAGAGAGTGCGGCGGGCGCGGGAGGAGAGGGAGCGGGATGCCATGGAAAGGTCTCCCTCCCCGGGGGAGAAGGCGCGGAGGCGGCGGGAGGAGCGGGAGCGGGATAGTCTTGAGCGGAGCGGGTCTGAGGGGGATGGACGGAGAGGGGGGCCGCTGGGGGGCGGAGGAGAGGGGGAAGAGGTGGGAACGCGCGGGGGATGGGAGAGGAGGGGAGGGGGATTGGAAGGAGGAGCGGCTGGGGATGGTGGGGGTGGGTATTACGGTGGTGGTGGGGCATATGGTGCAGTGGGGGCGGCGGGAGGGGATGTGGATATGTCAGCTGCCGATGCTTCACTGAGTGGCTACGGTGATGCCGCTGCTGCTGCTGCTGCTGGTGCTGCTGCTTCTGTGCTGCCCCCTATGCCGCCCCTGCCTCCGCCTCCCCCGCCGCCCATTGACCCGGAGGCAGAGATGAGGATGATGCAGATGATGGGCATTCCCATGGACTTCAACACCACCAAGGTGAGTGCATGAAGGAAAAGGGTGTGTTGGGTGAGAGAAGGCACAGGCGAACGGGCACACTAGATGATGCAGATGATGGCAATTCCCATGGAATGGACTTCAGCATCACCAAGGTGAGGGAGGGAAGGAGGAGGGGGGGTGTGGGGAGTTTGGGTGAGGAGGTGCAGGTGAACGGGCACACCAGGCATGCACATCCCATCCCATGGACTTTAAGAGCACCATGGTGAGTGAGTGAACGGTAATGTGGAAGACTTTTGAGACGTCTCAAAATGTACAGGCGAACGGGCACACCAGGCATGCACATCCCATCCCATGGACTTTAAGAGCACCATGGTGAGTGAGTGAACGGTGATGGGGAAGTGAGGTGGGGGCGAGAGGAGGGGGAGGATGTTTGTGTGAGGAGGTACGGATGTGACTTGATTGAAAGGCAGATGATGTAAATCCCCATGGACTTACCAAGGTGAGGGCGTGATGAGTGATGAAGGAGGGGGGTTTGTGGGGTGAGGAGGTGAAAGGCAGATGATGGGCATTCCCATGGATTTCAACACCACCAAGGTGAGGGAATGAGGTGGGGGAGGTGGGCTGTGAGGGAATGCTGGTTGAGCAGGCATACAAGTGAGCGAATCAAGGGTGGAAAGGGAGGGGGGAAGGGTAGTGGGCCTTGAGGGAGTTTTGCGTGAGGAGGCATACAGGTGGGGCATCCCTGTTTTAAAGGTGAACAGGTGGACTTCAACAGCAGCAAGGTGAGGGAGTGAGGGGAGGAGGTGGGCTGTGAGGGAATGTTGGGTGAGGAGGCATACAGGTGGGCAATCCCCCTTATAGAGGCGAGCGGGTGAATTTCAACAGCAGCAAGGTGAGGGAGTGGCGGGTGAGGAAGGAGGGGTATAGAGGTGACTCGCAAGGCAGGAGCTGGCCATCTATTGAGAGGCCGCGAATAGGGGTATAGCGGGGACTCGCAAGGCAGAAGTTGGGCGTTTATTGAGAGGGCTCGAAAAGAGGTCTAGAAATGTCTTGCAAGGCAGAAGTTGGGCATATTTTGAGAGGCCTCGAAAAGGGGTATAGAGGTGACTCGCAAGGCAGAAGTTGGGCATTGCTGTGGCCTTCCTCTAGTTTAATACTTCCAACTCCACCAGGGTGGGCGCTTGGGTGGGTGAGGAGAGGGAGGATAAGGGGCGGGAGGAGGGGGTGGTAGTTTGGGTGAGGTGGTATAGAGGTGACTCGAAGGGAGATAATGGGCATCTCTATGTACTTTCAACTCCACCAAAGTGAGCGAGAAAAGGGTGGGGAAACGGAGGGTTGGGTGAGAAGATGCTGGGATGGGTGCGGGGATAAGGTATGGGCATTCGGTATGGGGTGCGCCCACATGTTGAAGGGGGGGTCTGTTTGGGGGATTATCATAATAAGCCAACATTTCTTTGGGCATTTTGTTGTCCTTGTCATGTGCCCTATTCTGTATCCGTTACCCCGTATTTTCTATCAGGGCAAGGAGGTGAAGGGAGCCAATCAACTGAGCGCTGTGAAGCTGTCAACTAAGAGACAGCCACGTCAGTACATGAACAGAAGAGGTGCGCAGGGTTTTAAGGGAATACGTGTGGGTGGTGGATGATACATGATCGTTACGTCTTAACAGGCTCCCTTCTTATCGGACTGTGGTTCTGCTTGATTTTTCACACTGTCTATTTGTGGCAGCTTCTAGTTTTGATTTGCTTGGTGCATGTATCATTTCTTTCCCTCCCTCGGTTTTTTGCAGGTGGTTTTAACCGTCCATTGCCAGCTGAAGTTAATCGATGACGAGGCTTTTCTCCGTCCAGAATAAGTCACGGATTTTTTATATTTGTGGAAGCCGGGAATGATGTGCAGGGCCTACTGGTTAATCTTTCTTCAGAGTTAGATATTTACTGGTTCTTGTGAAGGCTTCTTTGCAAAGATTGGGAACTCAGAAACACCAGTATACACTTACCATTCTTCAAAAACTAGTTTTGATAGCGCTGCAATTCGGGGAGATCTACAAGTCCCCAAAGGTCGAGTTTCTTTGAGTGTCCACGTCATATTCGCACTTCGCATTTCGCGTCTCCACGTGTTGTGCCATCCGTTCCTCATCCATTCCCAGGCTTCCTGCCACGCGCACTGGCTGAGTGGACACTCCGCTTTCCCCATGCAACGTGGCGGTTCCCGCTTTCCCGCGCGCCGTTCCTTCCCATCTGCGCAGTCAGGATTGCTGAGTCCAAATCACCGTACTGTACCGTCTCGAAAAGTGACGCACCAAACTTTACCTTTTGATGTTCGAAAGCCCATCACTCAACACAACCCCTTCAACTCTTCCTGCGCCCCAGCCACTAAGTTTCAGGACCTTCTTTACTCCATACCTAATTAGGAGGCGCTGCTGCTGTGTGGTGCTGGTTCCTAAGCCTAGGCGCGGACCAGCTGTATTTTTCATAGTTCTCGTTTCTGTCGAAATATCTAAGGGCTTTGTCTAGCCATGGCTTCCGCTGCACAGATCAGCTCAGCTGCTCTCAGGATCCCAGAGAGGTCCGTCTATGGCGGCTCGTTCGCCACATTCTCGGGATTGTCGGCTGAGAAGACTTCCACCGCTCGCATGACCGTCAGTGTGCAAGGTAGAACAAACGGCTGACGAACCGGACAGCAAGCATAGTTTTGAGTACATAATTACGAAACATTGAGCTTCAAGCATGCCTCTAAGAAACAGTCACCGGGTTTTTATTCATGGAAACGATGGGGAGCGTCATTTCTCATCAGTTTTTTCAACGCCAGCCATTGGAGTTTAAAGTGTGGAGCGTCATTTCTCATCTGTCCAGGTCAAACCAGCCACTCGGCTCTGCTAGTGGAGGCCAGGGAGGCAACCCGGAGAGAGAAGGTCAAGAACCGTCACATGCGGATCCGCAAAAAGGTACAAGCTCATGGTTGGCGAAATGCGCGTTATATTAGGTGTTTTTTGGATGACAGCAGATGTGGATTGGTTAACAAGGGATTTGAGAACCGGGGGAGGTATGAGAGTGATCGTAGAATGGGGATACACGATGCAAAAGTTTGCGTTTCACTCTCACAGTCGCAGCGGAACTTCGGTTGCAGTCTTGTCTAGCCTTTTTGTTGCGACGACTGAGTTCCGTCGCAGAAACTGCCTTCTTTTTTGTTTCGCGTTTCCGCATGTATGCGGTCTGTAGACTCCTCGCTCGACGTGAAACGTTGCGTGCTGGCGTTAGAATCCCTAGGTGGGTATCCGACGCACAAGTCTTGAGCCACCTGGAAATTCCCGTGATTCAAGACAGCTTCGTAGGCGGCTCAAGTGCGCCTTAGGTTGAGCAGCTGCAATACAGGGCGGCCTGTAGATGCGAGTGACTGTAGCGAGGACTGCGTTTGGTTGGTTGGCGGGTACGTGGGTACCTTTGATTACCGGACATCTGAACTCGATTCAGGAATTCCCGAGTTTTGGTGTAAGAGAGAGCAGGAAGAGGGAGCACCATGACAGGTTCTGTGCATTTCCCTCCTCTTTCTTGTCCAGCCTGCAGCACCCAGTCTTGACCACCCAGCCTGCAGCACCCAGCCTGCAGCACTCAGCCTGTACCACCCGGCACAGCTGCTTTCGAAACTTCCCACCTTTGTTACCTCCCCTCTTTCTTCCCTCCTGCCCTCCTGCAGTTGAGCGGCACCACCGAGAGGCCACGCCTCGCTGTGTTCCGCTCCAACAACCACATCTACGCGCAGGTCCGTGCTGAGTTACGGAGCGCGCAGGTCGGTACCGAGCGGTCCAGGTCGGTAGTGAGGTCACAAAAGGTACATGTTGATGCTGAGTAGGGGCTGAGGTGCGTGCTCAGTCTCAGAGCGGTTCAGCTCGGTACAGTGTGAGGAGAACACAGCTTGTTACCGAGTCACAGGCGGCAGTCAGCAGCACACTCTCGCCGCTCATGTGTTCATGCATTTTGTGTGCCCACCTGCCATGTATGTAATCAATCCATCCTCTGTACCCCACATTCCCCATAAGCAGATGCTTGACGACTCCACGTAGCACACACTCCTCGCGGCCCATGTGTTGACGCCCTCTCCGTGCATTCCCCAAAGCTGTGTTTTCTTCTGTCCTTCAGTGTCTTTTCCTGTCTGATCCATCCTGTGTACCCTGCCTTCCCTACATTCCCTGCAATCAGGTGGTTGACGACACCAAGCAGCACACTCTCGCCGCCCGTGTGTTCACGCCTTCTGTTCCGTTTGTTTATCCTCTCACTCTCTTCCATCTGTGTGCTCTGCCTTCCCTGCAATCACGTGGTTGACGAAACCAAGCAACACACTCTTGCCGCCCGTATGTTTACGCCATCTGTTCTGTTTCTTTTATCCTCTCTCGCTCTTCCATCTTTGTGCTCTGCCTTCCCCGCAAGCAGGTGGTTGACGACACCAAGCAGCACACTCTCGCCGCCGTGTCCACCCTCACACCCGCCCTCCGTGAGGAGCTGAAGCTTACCGCTGGTCCCACTGTGGTACGTGCGTGCGTGACCTAGTCTGAAGTTCCCTTTGAGAAGTTTTTGAGTCGACTCAACAGCTGTGGTACGTGCGTGTGTAACCTAGTCTGAAGACCATATTGAGCATTCTCAAAAGTGAAGTCCTGGTGTCTCTCAACGCCAGTCTCACTGTGATAACTGTAAATTAGTCCAAGTTCCTGGTATCGCATATTGCTCATCAGATCCCCCCCCCCCCCAACCCCACTACTGGCCTCTGCAAGAAGCTTAAACTGATGCCTGGCCCCACTGTGGTGTGTGCGTAACATAATTAAACAATGCCTCATGCACTGATGCTGACTCGTGATAAACCTGTTTTGCTCCAGCCTCACTGTACTCAGCCTCCCCCCTCATACCCGCCCTTTGCAAGCAGCCGAAACGTACTGCATATTCCACTTTAATATGTGCATTACTGACTTTTTGACTTCATACGAATCAAGTTTGTGGTCGTATTAATGCAAACAAGAACAACTCAACCCTAATTATGCCTTTCCTCTTGCATCCGACATTTTTGGCACCCTGTGACGCAATACCCATCCTGTCTAATCATTGTTGTCTATTCAATCAATGCAGGAGGCATCGCGGCGTGTGGGGCAGGAGATTGCTAAGATCTGCTTGGAGAGGGGAATCAACAAGGTGGCCTTTGACCGCGGGGGTTTCGTGTACCACGGCCGCATCCAGGCTCTTGCAGATGGTGCGCGTGAGGGTGGCCTTGAGTTTTAAAACCTGGAATGTGAACGAGATTTTGATGTAATGTGAACGGGTTGCATGCAGTTTTATGCATACCTGATGTGAGGGAGTCAATTGTCCAATTCATTTGGAAGTAATGCAGGTTGCCACATTGTAAATTAAAATGAAGAAACTAAGATAAAGAATAGCAAAATGCACATTTTTTAGGGCATTGTATGACCCGTTGTTTTCATCTGTCCCATCATTTTAGGAGGGTCCTCTTATTTATACATGGAGAGTTGAGCATTGGGATGTTATTCTCTTCTATGCAATAAAACTGAACTTGTGTTTGAGCAGATTTTTTCCCCGAAAGAAGTGCAGCTTCAAGCGCGTAAAGCTTTGAACGGTTGGCGCGAACAGCCGAACCGCCTGTGACAGGGATGTCTGACAGAGGAGGTGATGGACAGTGAATATTTGGGGGAATTCCTCCACCCCCCAGATTACTTGATAATGCAGGCCTGGCTGGTGGGAATGATTGCGAACCAGACTTCATTGTTCACCTGTTTGGTATTCATGATCCTCATACTGGACGGAACAATAGCCCTTGTGCTAAAAACACTCGAAACACCAGCCCCGAGAACTCCATTTTCCATCCGGGCAGCCAAGCCCACTCCATCTGCAAGCTGAACTTCTGCATTCTGGCGTGAGGTCTCTAGTGTGGCTGGACTTGCCAGTTTGCGGCCTCGCAGTGACGCAATACTCACCAGACTCTAGCTAGAAGTCTACCAGATAGAGCTTCAGGAATGGTTGTTCTTCTAGACCTTCAGTGAAAGTCTTTGTCAGGCCTTGGCATTTGGTCCGTGACATAGTGCCAGGAGAGTTTCAGCTTTATCTAGTTTAGGAATCTGGCGGTCAGGGTAACTTAGGACCAAGGCGCTGAGCACGAAACCTTGAGTTGTATAGGAAGCGGAGAGCGTCGGGTTGTAGTACTTCCTGCTTAATGTTATAAGCAAAACGCTTAGCTTCTTGCTAGCTATCTTCCTTATCTCGAGGAAGCGAAGGCCTTTTCAGGCCCTTCAACTTCTACAAGCAACCGACGTATATCCATTAAAACGTTCTCAGCTACCTAACCTGAAGCCGGCTTCCGCCGAGTTATCCATATTATATTACGACTTGGGTTACGCTTAGCCGATGGCTGAAGCGATTTCCGTCGCAATTCGTTTTAGGCCTCTAAGCGACGTCGAGCGATCAGATGGCACCCCGTGGTCCGTTCAAGGGAACAAGATTCAGTTGTCCGATAGCAGAGGGAACGTCGCTGCAGAATACGCTTTTGGTGGGTCGCTTGCCTGTCCAAGTTTTTCGGAATTTGCATGATCAGGGAACTCTCTTGTTTTCTGGTTGTCAAGCACGACTTGCAAGACCAGCTTTCTCCAGTATTTCTTTAAAGGATTTTTCTTTTTTCCCCATTTTTTTGTAGCACGTGAATTCCAAGTTCCTGATAGGATTCGTCTGAGCTGTTGCAGATAACGTGTTCGATGGAAGCGCGACGTCTGAGGAGGTCTTTCAGAGCCGCGCGTGCGAGATCGCTAAAGCTGTTGTCGATGGCTTCAACGGTCAGTGAACCTAACAAAATATTTGGTTTTCTTGCCTTCAGACTGATCAAATCGTGTCTGACGAATTCCCTCGACCTCCGATTCGCACGATACCTTCCTGATAGCGTTCTGATTGCTTCGTTTTTGGACGCGCCAGGGACTATTTTCGCCTACGGTCAAACGAGCAGCGGCAAGACGTTCACCATGAGAGGCGTGCCTGCGTGCGAAGGCGTCATCCCGCTTTCCGTCCGTCAGGTCTTCGACACCATCTCCCAGGTACTAATTTCGAATTTTACGTCAAAGAGATATCATTGCACTGTACCTTTTTTGAAACTCTCAAACCTGTATTTTCATCTGGCAGACAATGAACCGGGAGTTTCTCCTTCGAGTCTCGTACCTCGAGATTTACAACGAGGAGATCAACGACCTACTGGCTCCCGACAACAGGAGGCTTCAAATTCACGAGAGCTCCGAGGTGCGAGGCGGCTTGTGGGATTGCGAGGAAGCTTGAGAATGCGAGGCGTCGAAGTCGTCGAGGAAGCTTGCGATCAACGCTTGATACGTTTTGCATACTACAGCGAGCGAGAAGACGGCTTGGTGTCATGAATATGCCCTGCGTATTACGAACTATTGCTTTTGTCCAAGACGCTATCTGGTTATTGGGGAACATGCTCCGTTCATATAGTATCCTGCTACGGCTCGTTCCGCTGGTGCATGCAGAGAGGCGTCTTCGTGGCTGGGCTCCACGAGGAGATCGTCATGTGCCCGGACCAACTGCTGGAGCTGCTCAGCGTCGGAGAAAGTAAGTCCATTGATACCCAGCTGCCTTATTGTTTTCCGTATTCGACTATTAATTGGACGCAAACAGCTCCACGAGGAGATCGTCATGTGTCCGGACCAAGTGCTGGAGCTGCTCAGCGTTGGAGAGAGTACGTCCTTTCTACCCAGCTCCCGTGTTGTTTCCGTAATTGAATATTGATTCGGCGCAAATGGCTCCACGAGGAGATCGTCATGTGTCCGGACCAAGTGCTGGAGCTGCATTGTTGCTTTCCGTTGTTCGAGTTCAAGCATGACCATTAAGTCCACGCAAAGGTCTCAACGCGGAGGTCGTCATGTGTCTGGGCCAAGTGATGCAGCTGCACAGCGTCAGGGGATTCCGACTTTTCTTATCCAGCTGCGTTTTTGTTTTTTCACAAGTTGCGGATGGTTTTCAGGGGCTATTGTTGGAGATGTGTTGATTCTGACGGCACGTGTGTGGCTGTGGGTGTGCCACGTGCAGCGAATCGGTCCATTGGAGAGACGAAGATGAACGAGAAGAGTAGCCGCTCCCACGCCATCTTCCGTATGGTACGTTGCACACTCACCTCGCCATGACCATCAGGCACTGACTCTTGGCACTCCTGGCACACTGAATCCGTAATTCTGTTTTGTTATCCCAAATTGTGAAAAAAGCTGATCTCTTGCTCGACTGCTATCGTCACTGTGAGTTGATTAGCCCATCTTGAATAGATCCCTGAGTTCGCCCATCCGGCTTGCCTGTGTTCTTTTGTGCACATTCCTCGTACACAGGTGCTTGAAAGCAGGGAGATCCCGGAGGAAGGGGCTACAGAGACAGAAAGTCCTGTTCTCGTCTCCAGTCTGGTGAGCTCCAGTCGAGGCGAGTCTGATGTGCTGGCACCAACGAAGGCCAATGTTCGTGGGTGCATTGCTCTTAACTGATATGGAAAAAAAGAAGAAGTACACCAAGAAGCATTCGTTTAGAGAGTCACGGCCCTCGCTTATGCATGCGCCCCTCACGTTCCACCCTCCTCACGTTCCACCCTCCTCACCACCCTCTCCACCTCAGAACTTGGTTGACCTTGCCGGGTCAGAACGGGTGGCGAAGACAGGTGCGGAGGGGTCGCGGCTGAAGGAGGGCGCGCACATCAACAAGAGCCTGATGACTCTGGGGACGGTGATCAACAAGCTGAGCGAAGGCGCGGATAGGAACGGGTGAGTGGGTGTGCCTGTTATTGAGGCGCCTTGAAAGGGACGGGACCTGATGGGTCAGGGCTGAAGGAGGGAGGGCACATCAACAAGTTGAAGAACAGTGGGCTGCAAGACTCGTGCTGTTTAAGCATGCATGTAACCAGTGGCTTCTTCTACTGTTCTAACTGCTGTTCTGAATGGTGCGTTATATTGCTCCTTGTTGTGTTGTGCGTTGCAGGGCGCACATCCCGTACAGAGACAGCAAGCTGACGCGCATCCTGCAGCCAGCACTGGGTGGCAACACCAAGACAGCCATCATCTGCTGCGCCACTCCCGCCCTGGTAACACACAAGAGATTCCTTCGCCTCGCGGACGTTTTGTGCCGAATAGCAAACCGAATGGCCTCGCACATCCTCTGCCATCTGCTTGCGTAACCACCTTCCCCCCTGACCCTTGCCATATGCGCCCTGTGGAACTGTCTTGTTGTTCCTCTCTGTTTCTCTTTGTCCAACACAGAGGCATGAGGACGAGACGCACGGCACTCTGCGGTTCGCCCTTAGAGCAAAGTGCATCACCAATTGCGCCAAAGTCAACGAGGTAATGTTTCTCTCGGTTCAACATTATCTCGTTGCTCTCCTTTTTTGGAAATGCACTTCTGACCCCAGCCTTACAATCAACGCTTTGCTCAAGAGGCAGGCGAAGGAGATCGAGGGCCTTCATGTACCCTTGCCCATGTGCTGCCTGTCGCTCACCAAGCTGCCCACTGATGATGCCCTGTCTGCATTTGTTCCACTGCAGATCGTCACCAACAATGCGCTGATCAAGAGGCAGGCAATGGAGATCGAGGACCTTTGTGTTGTCCATGTGCTGCCCGTTCCTCACCTTGCTGCCCATTGCTCCTCTTGTCTGCCCTTGTTGCTCTGGTTCCACCACAGATCGTCACCAACAACGTGCTCCTCAAGAGGCAGGCGAAGGAGATTGAGGACCTGCGGCGCAGGCTGGAGGCATCCCACTCGCCTGAGATGGAGCAGGAAATCATGAAGCTGCGCAACGCCATGCTCAAGGTCAGTCAGTTCATTACTGTGCACTAATGCCACGTTAGTCTCTATTACTGTGCACTAATGCCACGTTAGTCTCTCTGAGCCAACATGCCTGAAGGGAGATTTGAACAAGCTGAACAAGCTGGAGCAGTCAAAGTTTACACTTTCCACATCCTATTCTCTGTGCTATATCCTGCTCAATTTTGTCTGTGATTGTCGCTCTCTCTTGCCCATTTCTGTCCCTGTTCGAAATTGTATCTTGCCCAGATGGAGTCGGAGAAGGAGGTGATAGCGCTGCAGCTGCAGGAGGAGAGTGTAATGCAGTCAGGCGACATTGACCCCCTGTACCCCGTCACTGTATCTTCCCCTGTTCTGTCCCTGTCTGTCTTTGCATCCCGCTAGATGGAGTCGGAGAAGGAGGTGATAGCGCTGCAGCTGCAGGAGGAGAGGGCGGCGCACTCACAGAAGGAGCAGCGCATCAAGGAGCAGGAGAGGAAGATTGAGAACCTCAGCACGCTCGTCATCAAGGCGGCTGCAGGGGACAGGCAGAACGACAGGCGGCCAAAGAAGGTGGGTGTGGTGTTACCTGGAGTCCTATGGGTTGGAAAGCAAGGGGAGCGGCAGGAAAGGAAAGGGAGAAGGAAAACAAATTCCGCAGAGGGAACGCTTTCTGCTGTTGGAGTGAGCTTCCTTGTACGAATTGGTTAAAATGCGTTGTCACCAGTTCACATGTGCTTACATGTTCTTCGGTTGGATCTGTTGCTAACTAAGAAGTTGTGGTTGGGCGTGATGCAGTGCAATCGCAGGGAGTCGTGGTGTCCCAACGCTCGAGTGGAGAGCAGCCCAGCTGAAAACAAGGTGAGCTGCAGCTTGTGGTGCATTCTCCTCGCCTCACTCCTGGCATATGGCATTTCCATGCTTCGATTCCCAGGGCATCAGATGTCCTAGAGTGTGGCATGGCTGTGTAGTTCTTTTCCATCCCTGTTACACTCTTCTTTTCATGCATGCACTGCTAGGTACTATAGCTTGCCTGGCTTCTCTGCCAGGCTGTGTCTGGCACCTCTTTAGTGCTTTGCTTTACTGCTGCTCCCCACTGGCCTTCTCCTCTGCAGGAGAACCAGCCTGGGGGAATCAAGCGCCTGGCGTTCATGCGCCGTGCCATGGCCTTCAAAGAGGACGATGAGGAAGAGGAGGATGAGAAGGACGAGAAAGATGCAAAGGATGAGAAGCCAGAGAAGGTTCAGGAGGTGAATGGGGCCGTGAGGAAGAGGCGGATCAGCAGCGTGCAGAAGCTGGCAGCTCTGTGGGAGACGAGCGGGCCCAAGGAGGTTAAAACAGAGGAGGAGGAATCGGACGGGGGTCAGGATGGCCAGGTGTTTCAGAGTAAAGGGCGGTTTGAGTCTAAGGTCTCCCAGGATGAGAGTGCTCGTGATGGGTCAAAGAAGAGGCGGGCTGCGCCGGGCTTTGGGGATAAAGTGAAAGAGGAGTCTTCGCCAGTGGCAAAAAAAGTAAGTAGATCATGACGAAACATGCATTATTGTGCAACGTATGGGCTTCATGACTGATTCGTATTTTCCTTCTCGTGTTTCCCTCACTCCCCTCTTACCTCAACTTTCCTTCTCCTCGCTCTTCTTTCCTTCCTACCCCTCCTCCTTGCTTTTTCCTACATTCCTGGTGCAGCCTCTACGTGGTGTGACCATCAGCAGCACCCTGTCAGCTCAATGGAGCGAAGGGCATGCAAAGCAGGTATGCGCACCTGCCCACACATACCACCTCTTTTTCCCTCGCCGCCCATTCCCCATCTAGCATAGAAGTACGCTCTTTAAAAACATCTCATCTGTACGCACTTCAGAAATAGACTCCTCCCTGCCCTATCCTCTTCTCAACCTTCTTTTCCCCAGCTGGCAGAGAAGGACGCGCTTATAGCACAGCTGCAAGCACAGGTAGCCGCCATGCAGGCCACAGTGAGCAGCGGAGGAGGAGGCACAGGAATAAGCACAGACGGAGGAGGAGCAGCGCTGATGGTCGCAGGCAGTGGTGCAGACACGAGGAGGGAGGTGGGAGAGGGAGGGGAGGAGAAGGATCAGGAGGCGTTGGGTGCAGGGTTGGGCCAGGAGAGGCGGTCAAAGAGCATGGGCACTCCGGCTGTGCTGGCGCACGGGCTTCAGGCTAAGGTGGCGGCTCTTGAGATGGAGAAGGCGTGCATGCAGAGGGAACTGGATTACGTTACACAGCAGGCCAAGGCACAGGCGAGGGAGCAGGCGGAGGAGCAAGCGAGCAGCATGCAGAAGCAACAGCAGGTGAGATCTTTTGGGCTCCTCATTTCCGCGTGTGCAATAGGCTGCATTTTCCTGCTATCCTTTAGTGTGCTGTATTGTTCCCTCTAACCTTTCAGCGTTTTTTCCGTCACAGCTGTCAGCGTTTTTCTTTCCCTTCTCCTTCTCCTGTCTGCCTGGCATGATGAGAGCAGCTTCAGGAGGAGCTTGAGGATTGCAAACGGCAGCTAGAGGAGGCACAGGCAGCGGCCAAGGCAGACACTCCCCCCTGCGACAACTGCAGCGCACTGAAGAAAGCTCTTGAATCAGCCAACTCTCAGCTCTACGAAACAGAGCATCTGCTACAGGAAGCCACCGCTGAAGCAGCTCAAGCGAGATCCGGCCCAGCAGGAGCAGCGGGTCAGCTGATGGAGAAGCAGAGGGAGCTGGAGGCGGCTGTGTGGGAGGCGACGCAGATGAAGCGGCGGGTGGAGGAGCTAGAAGCGAATGTGATTGCAGTGGAAGGGGTGCTGCTGGAGGTGAGCGGGGAGAAGGACGCCTTGGAGGAGGAGGTGGGCCGACTGAAAGCTCTGCTGGCGGAAGGGAAAGCGGGGGGAGGAGGGGACGACGCGGCTGGGAAGGGATGTGATGTGAGTGGGCTGGAGGAGACGGGGAGGTTGAGGGAGGTGGTGGAGGCGAGGGAGAGGGAGCTGACGTCCCTCCGTGACGCTGTGAGGAGGCTGCAGGCGGATGTTGCTCAGGCCCTCGGGGAGAGTCTTCCTCCTGCATGTGGCGGTGGGGAGCCTGGTGCAGCTGCTGGGAGGGCAGTGGTGGGGGAGATGAGGGACCTGTGCGCGGCTGTAGGGCGGGTGATCTCGACCTTAGACGCTGCAAGGAGTGAGACGGAGCAGTTGGGACTGCAACTGAAGCAAGCGGGGGAGAGGGAGGCAGAAAGCGAGAGGAAGCTGGCAGAGGCTACAACAACTGCAGCAGCAGAGAGCGCCACGCAGCTGGCGCAGGTTCAGTTGCAGACAAAGGGAGGAGCGGAAGAGGTAGAGGTGGTAACCAGGCTGCAAGCGGAGTTGGAGGAAGCAGGGAGGGAGCTGGAAAGGGCAGTCGCAGCTCGGGATACGGTGGAGCTGAATCTGTTGACTGCGAGACGAGAGGCAGATGCGAGGGCTGCTGAGAGTGCAAGGCAGGTGGGGGTGTTGGAGGAGGGGATTAGGGTGCTGGAAGGGGATGTTGAGCGGGAGAGGGTGGAGAGGAGGACGTGGGAGGAGAGGGTGGGGGAGAGAGAGGGGGAGGTGCGGAGGGCGGTGGGGGAGAAAAGGGAGGCGGAGGAGAGGTTGGAGGGAGTGAGAAGGGAGGTGGAGGAGATGAGTGCGAGGGTGGGGGAGAAAGAGAGGGAGCTGGCTGCTGTGCAAGAGGAACTCAAGCTGGTGCTGAAAGAGAAGGTGGGGCGTCTGCTTCAGGAAAAGCAGCAAGCTTTCAGTTCTGCTAAACTGTATCAAGCGTAATCTGATCGATCCTCTGTTTCCCCCTCTCTGTTGTTTGGCTTCCCTCGGTTCTCCCATTTCCCCTCCACTGTGCTCCCTCCACTTCGTCCCTCGCTCCTGCTTCCTCTATTCCTACTTGCTTTCCTCTCCATACATGCAGGACGCAGCAAGCCAGAGGGCGGACCAGGTGGCAGCAGAGCTGGACGCGGCAAAGGCCTCAGCAACTGAAGCTCAACTACAGCTCGAGGTGCGTATATACTAGTCGTCGTCATGACCGACCCTTGCATACTATTGCTCACTGTCATTACTTCTCTATAGCCTTGCTTTGATCACCCCAACCCTTGCATGGCACCTTTCCCTTTCGCTTCCCCTGCTCCACGCTGATCCCTTCCTTTCTTTGCCCCTTTTTTCTGCCCTCTCCCTCCAGGCGTGCAAGCTGCAGCACACAGAGGACCTGGCAGAGGCACGCAAGGAGCTTCTCACAACCAAGAAGGAGATGAGCTCCCTCAAGGGCAAGCCAGGGGCAGCCGAGCGGGAGCGGGACCAGCTGAGGAAAGAAGCAGAGAAGCGGAAAACCAAGATGCTGGATCTAGAGGCGAAGCTGAAGGCTGTACAGGCGGAGAAGCTTGGTCTGCAGGTGGATAAGGCAAACCTGGAGCGCGAGGTGAAGAGCCTGAGGAACCAGAGCAACCAGCTGGCGAGGGATCTGAGCAAGCGGGAGCAGGTGGAGGATAAGCGGAGGGAGGTGCAGGCGAAGGCTGTGCAGGCGGATAGGCAGCTGGCGGCGATGGCGGTGGAGATTGAGGAGAAGGACAGGGCGATTGCGGACCTTCAGGTGAGTCAGAACAGGGTTCTGTGCAGGTTCTGGGGAGTTTCGCTTGTTAGTCAGGGGCGGTTGTAGAAAAGGGGGTGAAGGGGAGGGAGCAGGTGGAGGATAAGCGGCGGGAGGTGCAGGCGAAGGCTGTGCAGGCTGACAGGCAGCTGGCGGCTATGGCGGTGGAAATTGAGGAGAAGGACAGGGCGATTGCGGACCTTCAGGTGAGTGGAAAGAGGGGGATTTGTGTGGGTGCTGGGGAGTGTGGCATGTAATTAGGAGGATTCTGGATTGCCAGGCATGGCAGGTGGCGTTGAGTACTGGGTTGATGTTTCCTATTCACCACAGTCCACCGTGCTTCCCCTTCCATCTCCGCCCTCTTGACCTTCTTCCCACCCTTCCTCCTCTCGTCCCCCCTGCCTCCCCTCTCCCTCCTCTCTCCCTTCCCTCTCCCTCCCTTCTACCACCCCTCTCCTTCTCCCCTTCTACCCGTCTACCCCTCCCCTTCTTTTCCTCTCCTTCCTCTCCTCCCACTCACAGGCAGCGTTGGAGGCAGCAGAGGGCGAGAGGGACGAGCTGAAGCTGAGGGTGGTGGCAGCAGTGGAGGAGAGCGAGCAGCTGCAGGCAGAGGTGGATGCGGGGCAGGCAGACATGCCCTACCACACCACAGGCCACTCCTCTTCCCTTGATTCAATCCTGCTTGTCCTACCCCTCACCCTTCCTCCTCTCTTTCCTTTTCCTGTCCCCTCTACGTCCCTTTTCTCCCCTCACCCCACTCACAGGCAGCGTTGGAGGCAGCAGAGGGCGAGAGGGACGAGCTGAGGCTGAGGGTGGCGGCGGCAGTGGAGGAGAGCGAGCAGCTGCAGGCAGAAGTGGACGCGGGGCAGGCGGATCTGCAGGAGGTGCTCGCGGACTTTGAGACGGCCACCACGCAGATCAAGGCGCTGCAGGAGATCCGGCAGGAGCTGGTGTGTTTCTGATGGTGTGCGGTGGTGTGCAATGTGCGCTGGTGCTTTATCTCTGCTGTTCTATCTTCACCTGGCCCTTCGTTTCCACCTCCACTGCTTTCTCTTCACTTCCCTAACTGAGCCCACACTTCCGATTGACTAGTATACTCCAACATCTGGTTTGCCCAATAAGGTGTCCAAGACTGTGCCAACGACTCATACAGTCACCTAGGCATGATCAATAGGCCCGACCCGACCCGACCCGACCCGACTTGGGCGGGCCAGCCGGGTTCCGGGTCGGGTCGGGTCGGGTCGGACCTTTCAAAATCTCTGGCCCGACCCGGGTATCGGGTGCCGGGTCAGGCGTGACCCGCACCCGGGTCGGGTCGGGTCGGGCCCGGGTCGGGTCGGGTCAGGCCAGACCCCCAGATGCCCTGAAACGCGGGCCTGCAATACGCGTGCCTAAGGAGGGAGCGCGACCTGTTAATTTCGGATGTAAAAATAAAACTCACAATGGATGGCGCGATGTGCGAATACCTTATAAAAAACGATTGGCTGAGTAATAACTAAACATTATCGTAGGGTATAGGGTAGATTAGTATGCCAATGTGGGTGGCTGCTGGCATCACTAGCTAGTTAACTAAGCTTAAACCAGATCGAAATGCCAGTCGCGGGGAAACAAAACAAACGGGATTGCGATCTGGCTAAGTTTGTCGTGAGGAAACCCTCGGGTCGGGCCAGATACCCGACCCGACATAGGGCGCGGTACCCGAAACCGGGTCGAGTCCCTAATCGGGTCGAAACCCGACCCGACCCGACCCGACCTGAAATCGGGCCTCGAGTCGACCCGACCCGCCCGGGTATACCCGACCCGACCCGGCCGGGTCAGCGGTTCAGAACACCTGACCCGACCCGGGACCCGACCCGACCCGCCGGGGCACCCTGCTCATGCCTACAGTCACCAAATCAACTCTGTTGCTCCCGACCTTAACCGTGCCCGCGCCTGTACCATGACTGTGCTCAGACGGAGCAGTGTGAGGAGCTGGAGAAGGGCAAGGCGGAGGCAGAGGCAGCTGGGAAGGAGGCAGAGGAGAAGATTGTGGCGCTGCAGGCGAGGATCCAGCAGGTAGAGGAGAAAAAGCGGCAGCTGGATGCGGACATTGCTGCAGCAAGGAAGGAGCACGCTGAGGTGGGTGTATGCACCTGAGGTGGCTTAAGGAGAAGTCAACATCTTGCTTCTGCTGCTCCAACTCTGCTACTGGTTTCTGGGTTTGATCCTCACACTCTTGGTCCCCGTTCCCTTCTGCCTATTCACCGCTCCTCATTCCCTGCTCCCTGTTACCTAGTCCTTTGTGCCCCTGATCCCTATTCCCTGTTATCTGTTTCCTCCTTTGTGCCCGGCAGCTATCCGCACAGCACAAGGAGGCACTCCAGGATCTGGAGAAGGAGAAGGCGAGAGTGGCCAATCTGGAGCACGACCTCAGAGCAGAGAGGGCCAAGAGCGAGCGGCTTGGAAAGCAGGTGAGGCTTGAGGCGCGTTAGCAGACTCCACTGATAAGCTCTCTCAAAGTAGCAAGGAGATTAAGGGAGCATGAATGTTGATGTTGTTTCCTTCTTTGAACCCTGTATGATTGTCGTTTTTTTTCGCTCCGCTCCCCTTCCTCCCTCTGAATGAGAGGTGGTGGTGATGAAGAAAGAGCTGAATGCGGCGAGTGAAAGGATAGCAGCACTGCAGAGGCAGATGCATAGCTTTGTTTCCCCTCCCCTATCCCCCCATTCTTACCCCTTTCGATCTCCCCCCATCCACAGGCGGACGAGGTGGTGGCGATGGGAAGCAATCTGAATGCAGAAAATGAGAGGATAGCAGCGCTGCAAGAAATGCACTCTTTCGTAACCCTTTCTGCATGTCTCCCTCCCTTCCTCCTCCCCCCAACCATTCACAGGCGGACGAGGTGGTGGCGATGGAGTGCAAGCTGAATGCGGCAAATGAGAGGATAGCGGGGCTGCAGAGGCAGGTGCAGGAGCGGGAGGAGCAGGTGGAGCATCTGAAGCAGGAGAGGAAGGAGGCGGAGGAGGAGGCGCGAGCAGAAGGGGAAGGCGCTGCACTGGCTGTAAAGAGGGAGCTGGCATCGCTGCAGAACAAGTACACCGCTCAGAAGGTACACTGGACTGATGCCTGCGTATTTTTGTTAAAATCTATCATTTTTCTCTGCCGCACTTGGTAGCTGCACTGGCTGTGAAGAGGGAGCTGGCATCCCTGCAGAACAAGTACAGCGCTCAGAAGGTACGCTGGACTGATGCTCGTGTGAAGTCTGCTCGTGAGAGCACGCTGTTGGTGCATTGAAGTGTTTCTCTGCGTCACTTGGTGGCTGCCCTGGCTGTCGAGCAGGAGCTGATCATTCTCGTTGTGCCTCTGTCCGTTTTTTTTCTCGCCGTTCTTGATTCCGCGACTCCCACAGAGTGTGTGGCGCAAGGCCTTTGCAGAGAAGAAGGAACGGGTCGAGAATCTCACGGTGAGTCTTTTCTCTTTGTCATGGTGAGAATCCATGTCTGCAATCTCATTTGGGACCATCTGTGCACCCTCCCTGGGAGGTTGTTATGGGCACACTCTTGTTCATTGTTTATGTCCCTGCTTCCCTTCCTTTGACCTGCTTTCCATTTATGTTTACCTGACTCCTTCATTTATGTTTACTCTCTGTATCTTTCTATCTACATTTTCCATAATCAGGGGCGTCTGCAGCAGTCAGAGCAGCAGCGAATGGAGCTGCAGCGGCTGCTGCAGTCTCTCCAAGAAGAAGCAGGGGGTGAAGGCGAGGAGGAGGGGGCGGGGTACGGGAGAAGGGGGAGTGGTGGCGAGTGGAGGGGCCGCAAGGAGGTGGTGGCAGTGCTGATCAGCGTGCAGGATACAAACAGGAAGCTTGTGAAGGACCTGGAGGGCGCCAGACAGAAGGTGCGGTCTTTTCTGTGCTTGGCTTTTGGATTTGCTCGGCTTTCTGTTTGAACGGCCTGGAGCATACCAAGCAGATTGTACAAGCAGTGTCCAGGAAGAAGAGCAGACGTTTGTCCCGTCTTCTTTTCTGCCCTGGGCCTTCTGTTCCACCCTGCTCCTTTTCTCCTCTTCTCCCAACTCATGGATGAGCTGGCATGAAGGCAGAGCAGTAGGATGAGTTCTTAGGCGTCTTAACCTTTCTCTTCTCCTCATCCCGCCAATTTACACCCCACATTCACCCTTGACCAGCTGGCAGAGGCGGAGAAAGAGAGGGACAAGCTTAGCAACTTCTCAACTTTGTCTCTTCTCCTCCCTTTTTTCCTCATCCCCACACCCCCGCATTTAACCTTGACCAGCTGGCCGAGGCGGAGAAACAGAGGGATGAGCTGCAGCAGGTGCTGGATTTGAAGGAGGAGGCGTGGGAGGAGAGGGAGGAGAAGGAGAAGCGTCTGCAGCAACTGGAGCTGGACGTGAAGCTGTACGAGGCGAACCAGAAGGAGTACCTCATGCATATTGAGTCGCTGGAAAATCAGGTAAGCGTCGGGGGTTATGTAGGTGTATGTTTTTCTGTCGGTTTCCTCTATGCGATCTTTTTCCTGCTTTGCATTCTTTTGCACTGTGCTCAGTTGCGACGGTTTTGGTAAGTTGCCGTGTTATAACTAAGCAAGCTTTGTTTCTTGCTCATGCAGCTTCAAGCAAAGGAGAACCAGCCAAGAGGTTCTTTGACTGGACATGGCGATAAAGTCTGTCAGATGAGCATAGCTGTGGGTAAGAATGGTGTCTCGCCATCTCCCAAGAGGGCTCGCCAACCACTAACAAATCTATACTAGGAACGTTGATTAGTCGCGGTGAGCATCTCAAATACTGGTTCTTGGTACCATATATGTATTCACACATAATATTGTATACACTATAGAAGACTTCGCCTATGCACCTACGATGGGACTTTGATTACAATTACAGTGAAATGTGTGGCAACAGAAGGCAAGTATGATGTGGGTCTAAATTTATAATCATTTTTAGCAACAGTGTATCTGCTGATATGGAAACTGGAATTCGTTCTATACTCGGTGTCTCGGTATTGCCTTCAATGTCAGCCGCCAAGCTCGCCCAGCCTGACCATTTCAATCATGTCCTGACCTTTGTGCCTCTGTTTTCTGGTGCAGCCCGGCTCGATGAAATAGATATCGGTTCTGTTCGTTTCGATGTTCTGAATACAATTACGGTGTGTCTCTTCATCTCCCCTTGAAGTTGACTCTGACATCTGACATTGACCTTCCCGCTTCCCGCCCCCTCCGTTTCTTCCACCATCGTATTCTGTCAGTTGTTCGTATCGCTCTGCCTTGTTTTACGCTCCCCTTGCAAATGTCGTCTAGTCTACGCAGTTCAGAAGCGGCTGAGTCTCAGCGTAAGTGAATTTCTAGATTCTTGACGGCATGAGAAAATTACAGTGCCGTGCTTGCTATGGAGTGACACGATAGTAGCGTCACAATGGCTAGGGCTCTTGGTTGTCGTACTGGGTCTTAATGACGTCGTGAATCCCGCGACTGCTCGCCAATAGAAGCATTCCACGTGGCATCACAGATTAGTGTAAGACAGATGGTGTGTTCAGCTGCATGAGTCCCATGGCCAAGCCGCTTACCTCTACCATCAATCGTCCGAATGTCACGTCGGCGCCACGTGGCTCGGTTAGATTGGCTGGAACCCACGGTTCGTCAGTGTCGGAGCCAATCCGTCTCCGTCCGCGCAGTCCCCCAACAACTCGACTCTGCGCCTCAACGGCTCAGTGTGTTGCTTACACCTCCACCGCCTGCACTTCAAGATGCAATATGAGCTGCACTTCAAACCGCACGTTAGGTACCAACCAGGGGGCTCGGACCACAGGTAGCCTCGCCTTCAGACCGCAATGTTCCCCGCGCGCAGCATTCGGCGCAGGCGGAGTTCACGCGTGGGCACCGCGTCTGGCCCCGCGCCTAGGGGTTTCCGCGCATGGGCCTAGCCGGAGCGTGGGGGGAGCGGCGCCGAGCACTAGAAGGGATGGTCTGGGTCGGTCGTCTAGCACACGGACGGCAGCAGGACGCACCACTCCTCCGGGACCCTCCTCTCCGCCCGATCCTATTTCTGTGCTGAGTCAGAAGCTGTCTCATGAGAGCTTTAGGGACCAGAGTGGCCTGGGTCGGACGTTTAGCACGAGGACGGCTGCAGGACGCACCACTCCTCCCGGACCCTCATCTCCGCCCGATCCTATGTCCGTGTTGACTCAGACGCTGTCTCATAGGAGCTTTAGGGACCAGAGTGGCGTGGGTCGGTCGTTTAGCACACGGACGGCAGCAGGACGCACCACTCCTTCAGGACCCTCTTCACCTCCCCATCGTATCTCTGTGCTGACTCAGACGCTGTCTCATGAAATCTTTAGGGACCAGAGTGGCGTAAGTCGGGCGTTTAGCACAAGGACGGCGGCAGGACGCGCCTCTCCTCCGGGACCCTCTTTGCCTGCCCATCCTGCTTCTGAGTCGACTCAAACACCATCGCACGAGAGCTTCAGAGGTGGCCTGGGTCGGGCGTTTAGCACGAGGGCGGCGGCAGGACGCACCTCTCCTCCGGGGACCTCATCATCTCCGCCCGATCCTCCCCCCGAACGACCTCGTTTCTCGCTCTGGCCCAGACCTCCAGACCCTGGTAAGTTCCGAGCCTCTAGGCTCGGTTTTGGCTGCAACCCTGGGGCTTTGAAAGTGGCTGACTCATCAGGTTAGCCAACCCTAGTTGGTACACCCACCGATTTGAACCTTGTTAACTCATGCTGCATCACTCGTAAGTTCACTTCAAAAAAATATTCAGATAAATTTCTCAGAGATTGCCGCCTTTTTTGGTCCTTCTGGTCGTTCCCTGACCTGCCTACTGGTCAGAGACGTTTTTGCACTCCGCACTCCCTTCCCCACTCCCTTCCTGTTGCAGAACCGGAGGATGGAAGTAACACCAACAGTGGTTACCCCACTGACGATGGCGACAGTAGCAGCGATGAAGACGACGACGATAGCACCGTCAGCAGCAGCAGAGGAGGTGACACCAGGCCAAAAGGATTTGTAACGACAGCAGTAGTCAGAGACCCTTTTGCTTTCCGCCTTCCCTACGCCCTTCCCCTTGCAGAACTGGATGGAAGTAACACCAACAGCGGTAACCCCACTGACAATGGCGACAGCAGCAGTGATGACGAAGATGAAGATGACAGCACCGTCAGCAGCAGTCGAGGTGACACAAAGCCAAAAGGTTTCGGGGCGAGAGCAGCAGGAAAGGCAGCCGGCAAAGCAGGAGGGAAGGCAGCAGGAAAGAAGGGTGGCGGTGGTCGAAAGGCGGGAGGGAAACGGGTGAGTGCTCCTCAGGGTTCGGGGGCTACGAGGGAAGTAGTTCCAGGAGCACTAGGAGCACAAGAGACGGAATTTAAAAAGTTTCTTCTTGATGGAGTCAGTAAGGTGATCAACGATAGCGGCAGAGAGCCTACTATGGATCAGTTGGTCGGGCTTTGGGTGTTAGGGCTTCCCATACCGGGGATATCAGATGAAAAGGGGGGGATGAGGGTTGTGAGCGAAGATGAGCTGTTTCGGCATCTCATTATGCAAATTTATGATGAATTGACGACGGCGACTGGGGTGAGCAGTGGCGGCGAAAACAGCAGTGGTGGGAGCGGGAGGGATGGGGAAAAAGGGGGTGAGAGAGACAGGGAAAAGCTAGATGAAATTATTACGAGACTTTTGAGGAACTCTAAGGGAGATGGCTTCTCTAATAAATTTGATAGGTCAGCGGTTGTGAAGGAACTTACAGCTTTTATTAGAACTGCCAGCAACAAGGCTAATGAAGGCAGCAGTGGGCAGAGAGACAACGGCACTGGGGAGAGCAGCAGTGGCAGCAGTAGCAGCAGCAGCGGCGGTGGCGGCAGCGGCAGCGGTGGCAGCAGCAGCAGTCGCAGCAGCAGTAGCAACACCAACAGCAGCAATAGTAGCAGCGGCAGCAATGGCACTGGCAGTAGAGGAAGCGGCGGTGGTGGGAAGGGGTTGTTTGGGTTTGGGGGAGATGTTGCGCGAGGTCTTTCGGATGCTGTTCAGTGGTTCCAGACTGTCACCGCTCCCAACCCCTCCAAACCTCTCGAAGCCACCATTGACCCACCCATTTCAATAAATTCTGCCAAGTCACCTGAACCTGCCAAGTCACCTGAACCTGCACCTGAACTTGTCAAGCCACCTGAATCCGCCCTGCCACCTGAACCTGCTGAATCGCCTGAACCTGAAAAGTCACCTGAAGCTGCCCACTTACCTGAGCCTGCCAAACCACCTGAGCCTGCCAAACCACCTGAGCCTGCCAAACCACCTGAACCAGCCGCTCTGTCCTCCCTTCCGTCTGGCAGTACAGAACCTCGCGAAGCCACCCTTCCTCCTTCCATTCCACAGCCCTCTCCCTCCCCTTCTCCTACTCCTTCTCCTACTTCTCCCCCTCCCCCTCCTTCACTTTCACCAACTCCTCCTCCCTCTTCATCCTCCTCGCCTCATCCTCCTCCGTTTCCTTCCCCCTCCCCTCCTCTTCCTCCTGGAGTGGAAAAGGCAGAGTCTAACACACCCAGCTCTGGCACGAAAAATGAGGCCTTTCCTCGTCTTCCATCTCCCATCACTTCTCCACTTCCTGAGATGGCAAAAGCAGAGCGTGAGACACCAGGCCCTGGCATGAAAGACGAGCCCTTGGATGTGCAAGCTGCTAGCAACGAGGCAGACTATAACGGGTATAACGAGGCAGGGGGAGACGTCTGGGAAACGGCGGCTGGGTGGGATTCGAGCGAGGAAGCGAGGGGTGGAGGAGAGGGGGAAAGTGGGGAGAGAGGAGAGCCAGGGGTTAAGTCTGTGTGGGGGGAGGTGGAAAGGAGAACGAGAGAGGAGGAGAGGATTGAGGGGATTGTGTGGGAAGAGGCGGAAGAGAGCGAGGAAGAGGATAATGAGGGGCGAATTGGGATAGAAAAGGATGATGAGGGGCGGATTGCGATGGAAAGGGATAATGAGGGGCGGATTGGGTTAGAAAAAAGTAATGAGCGAATTGGAGTGGAGAACGGAAAGGCGGATGCAGCCGGGGAGCGATCAGATGTGGATGAAGGGATGAGGACGAGGGGAAAGGATGCTGAGGCGCCTGAACGGACGAGTGAGGGAGGAGAGGCTTCTGAGACGCCTGAAAGTACGAGAGAGAAAACAGGCGCTTTTGAGACGCCCACAAGACTGAAAGAGAGCCGCAAGATGAGAGGGGAGGCTGAGAGGCAGCACAAGGAGGAGGAGAAGAGGAGGTTGAAGGAGCAGCAGAGGGTGGAGAGGAAGAGGGAGAGGAGAAAGGCGAGAAGGGTGATGCTGCTGGCTGCCCAGCTGAAAGAGGCATTGCAGCGGCAAGGGGAGGCGAGACAGGGGGAGGGGATGGCGAGGCAAGGGGAGGGGAGGCAGGGGGCCATGGGGGAGGGAGGAGCTGAGGGTGTTTGGGATGGTGGGGCCGGAGAGGGAAGAGCGAGGGATGACAATGAAGGTGAAGGAGTGTCGGGTGAGGCAAGTAGGGAGGGACAGGAGGGAAGGATGGGCGAAGGGGAGAGAAGGATGGGAGAAGGGGAGAGAGAGATGGGTGATAGGGAGAGAGATACGAGCGAAGGGGAGAGTGATACGAGCGAGGAGTTGGAAGCGGTGAAGATGGAATATGGGGGAGGAGAAGTGCGGAAGGTGGAAGGAGCAGGAGGGAGTCTAGATGTGGAGGAGTTGAGAGCGGTGGATTTGGGGCAGGTGGCATTGCTGCTGGGGGCTATAGAGGGACTCAAGGAGGTTCGGGATCTGCCGAAGCTGATGAGCTGGCTCGGTGGCGTGTCACAGGGGGAAGGCGGGGAGGTTGGCCGTGCTGAGGTGGATCAGGCCAGTGATGACGTGTCACTGGGCAGTGCTGAGGTGTCACAGGTGCTGTATGAGCTGGCGATTGCGGAGGAGAGTGAGAAAGTGCTGGCACTTCTGAGGTGGATGGAGGAGAGGAGGGAAAGGGAGTGGGAGGGGATGATTACGGATCAGCGGAGAAAGTTCCTAGAGGAGAGAGCGAGGGAGGCGAGAAGATTCGGACGAGGGATGCAAAGTGGGGGAAAGGGAATCGAGAGGAGGAAGGCGAGTGAGGAAGAGGATGGGATGTCAGAAGAAATTCAAGGAGGAGTGGTGATTGGGGCGGGTTTGGGGGCACCTGAAAATACCCCAAAACCGCCCCAAGAGGTGGTGCTGTTCCGGACGACGTCGAATGCGTACGGTGCTGTTGTGACGATGCTGCTTCGGTTGGGTCGGGTGGAGGAGGCTGAAGCGATGGTCATGAGGGGGGTGCCGGAGAAGCAAGGGCAGCAGGAGCAGCAGGAGGAAAATGGACAGCAGGGGCAGCAGCAGGAGAAGCAGGAGAAGGGGCAGATGGGGCAGAAAGTGCAGCAGGGGCAGCAGCAGCAGCAGCAGCAGCAGCAGCATCAGTGGGAAGAACTCCATCCGCCCCCCATCCCCATTCCCCACCGCGTCTACTGCCAGCTCATAGGAGCTTTGGTTGGCACCGGCAAGGGCTTGCGAGCTCTTGCTGTGTTTTCTAAAATGCGGAACGAGCAGGGCCAGGGCAAGGGGCAGGGCAAGGGGAAAAAGAGGGGGAGGAAGGCAGGCAAAGGGCAGCCAGCGGGGGAAGGGCGGCCTTCTTTGGCGTTATGCCACTTGGTGATGAAGGGGTGCTTGAAGGAGGGCGGGCAGGGAGGATTGGAGGGATGTTTTGCAATGGTGGCAGAGATGTATGCGATGGGGAGAGAGGGCAGCAGCGAACTGAAACCCACTCCGGTGAGAATGGGAGAGGGAGACATGTTAGCTTTGTTGTGCGGGACTGTTGATGCTTTGGTTAGGCTCATGTCTGGGGAGGGTGGGGGCCGGAGGAGTAGGTCAGGGTGAGTTACAATGGTGGGGATATGACTGGGATGGGGTGCAAACTGAAACCCTTTCCGGTGAGTATGGGAGGAAGAGCGGATGATTGTTGCTGTGTTAGACTCTTGTGGGTTGGGACTGTGTAGAAAGGAGTGTGAAGGGGTATGCAGGGGCGTGTTGCGGTGGTGAACGAGGTGAGTGCACTGAGCAGCAAACTGAAGCCCACTGCAGTGAGAGTGGGAGGGAGGCGCGATGGTTTTGTTGTGTGAGACTCTTGAAAGTTTTGTTTGTGTGAAACTCTTAATGCGGGCTACCGATCATGGCAGTCGAGGGGAGGGAAAGGGAGGGAGGGGAGGGGGGGAGTAAAAAGAAAATCAATAGCAAGTGCTTTTGGTCTTGACAGATCATGCTCGCAATGCAATTGATTCTTAATCTCTCTTCTTCATGTTACCCTCCTCGACTGCCATGATCGGTAGCCCACCCTCCCCTTTATTTCTTTCTTTCTTCCTTTCTTTCTTTCTTAATCGTTTCTTTCCTTTTTTCCCCTCTTTGGAACCTGGTTCTACCGCAGCTCACCTACTCCTTCCTGATCCGCGCGCTGCTGCAAGAGGGGTTACTGAGAAGAGCCTCCACCGTGGTGCTCAGAAGCATGCCAGACGGGAACCTGGTTCCCCGCCTGGAGGACGTGCATGCAGTCATGAAGGCGCAGCTGGGGAGGGGCGGAGAGGCGGGTGTGAGGGAGGCGATAAAAATCATGGATGCTATTCTGGGGGTGAAGAGGGAGGGGCAGCGACGGGACAGTTTCTTACAGATGGTGACACCGAATGAGGTGCGTTGGTGGGAGGGCATGCTTCATGCTTTCATGCCCTGTGTGTGTGCGGTGCCCAACCATCGGAATACCCTCTTGAGTCTTGATTCGCCCTTTCCATCCATTCCCTCCTTACCATTGCAACGTCTCTCCCACCCTTATCTAATCAACACATCTTCTAAATGCTACTTTTGGCCTTAATCACAAGCAGAAGCTCTGCAAGGCCTTCTTGGTGCCCCCATTCCATTGGCTCCTTTTCTTATATGCCTCACCCACCCGCCGCTACCCAACCAGCTCACCTTCCGCATGCTGATCCTGGGCCTCTGGCAACCCCGTCAAGCAAGGCCCACTTGATTGTCCACTTTCCACTACCTACACTTCCCACTCCCAATCGCTTTCCCCATCCCACCTCCCCTACCCCACAGCTCACCTTTCGCATGCTCATCCTCGGCCTGTGTCGCGAGCGCAACCCCAGCAAGGCCCTGTTCTACCTGACTTGCATGATGGACCGGGGACTCATGCCCGACAGGCAGCTGTTCCGCGCCTGCATGCTCACTCTCTCCGCTCTCGGTAGGTGACGCGCCCAGCTGTCTGCTTATCCTGAGAGTATGTATGTTGCGAGTGCGACACTAGCAGCAAGGCCGTGTTCTACCTGACGTGCATGATGGACCGCGGACTCATGCCTGACAGACAGCTGTTCCGCGCCTGCATGCTCACTCTCTCCGCTCTCGGTATGTCAAGTCTCTAGCTGTGTGCTCAATGCTCATCTGAAGTATGCCCACACGCATCCCTCCTCTCGGTATGCCCACACGCGTCCCTCTCTCGGTATGCCCACACGCGTCCCTCTCTCGTAGCATGCGGTCTATGTGTTAGGCACTCACCCCCTTTTCATGTAGTCCCTCTTGCTTCCATATATTTTACTCTCCCTTCCCACCAGGCATCACTCGCGATGCATTACAACTCTTTGAGTTGATGAGCGGGACGAGGGGCACGTGTGCATTCATAGACGCTGATTTGTGTGTACTGTGTGGGTTTTTTTTTAGCATGCGCCTCAAACGTAGACCGTGCGGACCTCCTCCCTTTGCCATTTGACATTTCTCTCACGTGTAACGCATCCCTCTCTTCCCACCAGGCGTCACGCGCGATGCATTTGAGTTGTTTGAGTTGAGGCGCTGGGCGAGGGACACGCAGGCGTTCATAGGCGCCTGCCTGTGTGTGCTGTGTGGACCCCCTTTTTCCATATATTTCCTCCCTCTTTCATGTACCCAATTCCTTGTTTTTCACCAGGCATCACGCGCGATGCATTAGAGCTCTTTGAGTTGATGCGCGGGACGAGGGGCACGCGTGTATTGCACTGACCCTTGCGTTTATTCGTTCCTTTTCCTGTGCATGCCATCCTTTTTTCCAATCCAACCAGGCATCACGCGCGATGCATTGGAGCTCTTTGAGTTGATGCGCGGGACGAGGGCCACCCGTGCGCTGATAGACGCAGACATGTGCACGCTGCTGCTGGCGGCGCTGGGCAAGCGCGGGCTGGGGGTGGAGATGAAACGTGTGGCATCACTCATGCGCAAGGTGGGAAAGTGGGGCCTTGGTAGTGGGGAAAGGGCCACGCGGGCGCTGATAGACGCAGACTTGTGCACGCGGCTGCTGGCGGCGCTGGGCAAGCGCGGGCTGGGGGTGGAGATGAAACGAGTAGCTTCGCTGATGAGAAAGGTGAGGTCTGGGGAAGGTGAGGTCTGGGGAAGGTGAGGTCTGGGGAAGGTGAGGTCTGGGGAAGGTGGGGGTTTGAGCTGCTCATCTGATATACACAGGTCTCTGTACGCTGCTGCTGGCGGCGCTCGGCAAGCGCGGGCTGGGGGTCGAGATGAAACGCGTTGCCTCACTGATGCGCAAGGAAAGGTGGGAAAGTAGGCTCTTGGTTGTCGGAAACGCAGGGAAGGTGGTAGAAGGTGGGAAACATGTGGCACTGGTCCTTCATGGGGAAGGTTGAGGAGAGTGCTCTGGTTTGTGGGAAAGGTGGGGCCTTGGTATTGGCAGTGGGGAAGGGCCACCTGGGCGCTGATCGACGCAGACATGTGCGCGTTGCTGCTGGCGGCGCTGGGCAAGCGCGGGCTGGGGGTGAAGATGAAACGCGTGGCATCACTCATGCGGAAGGTGGGGTGCCGTATTTGTGGTGAGGAGCAAGTTGGGCTCTTGAGTCAACTCAAAAGCCACCTCTGGGCAAGCAAGGGCTGGGGCTGCAGATGAAGCTCGTTGCCTCACTCATGTGGAGGGTGGGATTTTGATGGTGGGATAGGAAGGTGGGTGCCCTAGTGGATGACATGGAACAGCAGGCCAGCAGAAGCAACGCCACTTCCAATCTTGGTGGTGGTGCTGCTGATACTGGTCCTGCCTCTGCCTCTCCTCTCGTTTTCTCCCAAGAAAGCCCTATCCCACCCCACCCCACCCTACCCCACCCCTCCCCTCCGCACCCCAGATGGCGATCCCTCACAGCGGCGAATCCTACGCGCAGCTGATCATGGGGTATGCACGGGCCGGCATGTGGAGCGACGTGGATGCTCTAGTGGCCGAGATGGAAGAACACACCAGCAGAAGCTACGGAACTGACAATCTTGGTGGTGCTGCTGCTGGTGATGGTGATTCCGCCTCTGTCTCTGCCGCTGTTGTTGAAGAGCTGGGGATTGGAGTGGGGGCGACAGCTCGGGACAGCCTGGCGGTGTGCAATGCGCTGGTGATGGCGTATGGGCGGGCGGGCAGGATGGAGCAGATGGAAATGGTGGTGAATCGGCTCAGGGTGCTGTCACCAGATGGCACGCTGCGATTGGTGAGTCTGTCTCCAGTTAGCATGGTGCGATTGGTGAGTCTGTTGCCAGTTAGCACTAGGCATGAGCAAAAGGCGAACCCGAACATGTTTGCCTCGAACATGCACAAGCATGGTTGAAACTTCAATACTAAAGATAAAGAAGACGGCTCCGGACAGCTTGGCGGTGTGCAATGCGTTGATGATGGCGTATGGAAGGGCGGGCGGGCAGGATGGAGCAGATGGAGATGGTGGTGAATCGGCTCCGGGTGCTGTCGCCAGATGGCACGCTGCGACTGGTGAGTTGGGTGGGATGGGTGAACGCTTGTAGGCTTCAGTAGGCATGAGCATGAAGGTGAATCCCTATTAGGCTGAGGAGCTCGGGATTGGAGATAAGAAGACAGCTCGAGACAGCCTGGCAGTGTGCAATGCGCTGGTGATGGCGTATGGGCGGGCGGGCAGGATGGAGCAGATGGAGATGGTGGTGAATCGACTCCGGGTGCTGTCGCCAGATGGCATGCTGCGATTGGTGAGTCTATCGTCAAATGGCACTACGATTGGAAGGTCTGTTTGAATGGCACTCTGCGATTAGTGAGTCTGTTGGCTAAACATGAGCACATTTCTTGTCCTGAACTCTCTGAACCCGAAACCTCGAATCTCATCCCCCACTCCCATTGACAGGAGTCCTACAACACTCTCCTGGAGGTTTACGCTCGTCGCTGCGCTCGCAGTCCAAGAAGACGAGGCAGAAGCAGAAGCAGAAGCAGAAGCAGAGCCGTTGCTGTGGCTGCTGATACTGCTACCGATTCTGATTCTGATGCTGCTGCTCCTTCCCCTTCACAAGGGGAAGGTAGAAAACCTCAAGCCCAGTCAGAGGGGGAGGAAGAAAACGTAGCAGGCAAGGAAGGAGACGCATACGTGGAAGGGGATTTGGAGGATGAGCAGGAGGGAGGGGAGTGGGAGGAAGAGGATTCAGAGGAGGAAGAGGAAGAGGAGGAGGAGGAGGTGAGGGCACGGCAGGCAGCAGCGATGGCGGATGTGGCGCGGGTGGTGACGGAGATTGAAGGAGCGGGGCTGCGTCTCTCTATGCGCTCCTATGCTGCTGTCATGCAAGCGTTGGGCCTTGCAGGTCACTTTGACCAGGTGAGTGGGTGATGTATGATACACACTGTAGAGGTGAGTAAGGGCACAGCAGGCAGCAGCTTTTGAGGCACCCGTTTGACCGTGTGAGCGAATGGTGGTTGAGGAGGAGGCGGTGAGGGTACGGCAGGCAGCAGCGATGGCGGATGTGGCACGGGTGGTGATGGAGATTTAAGGGGCAGGGCTGCGCCTCTCCATGCGCTCCTATGCTGCTGTCATGCAGGCGCTGAGCCTTGCCGGTCATTTTGACCAGGTGTGTTCTCCACAGTGCATATGCGTGTAGCACACGCAGTATAGCGTGTTTTGACTTCACCCACAGGTGGTGATGGAGATAGAGGGGGCAGAGTTCCGCCTCTCCATGCGCTCGTACGCTGCTGTCATGCAGGCACAGGGGTTGGCAGGGCACTTCGACCAGGTGTGTATGCTTTCATAATACTTGCTGTATAGAGTAGTCTTACCACACCCCGCAAAGTGGTGATAGGGGTGGGGGGGGGCGGGGCTCTGCCTCTCCATGCTCTCCTACGCTGCTGTCATGCAGGCGCTGGGTCTGGCGGGGCATTTTGACCAGGTGTGTTCTCATAGTGTGGGTGTTTTTTGAGTCGACTCAAAAGTCACCAGGTGTGTTCTCATAGTGTGGGTGTTTTTTGAGTCGACTCAAAAGTCACCAGGTGTGTTCTCATAGTGTGGGTGTCTATTGAGTCGACTCAAAAGTCACCAGGTGTGTTCTCATAGTGTGGGTGTGCATATGGTACATGCCAAGCCAACAGCCTACCGCCTCTCCGTGTGCTACTACGCTGCGGTCATGCAGGCGGTGGGATTGCCAGGACTCTCATTCTCCCCCCCGGCCCGGGTATGCGGACCGACGTGCTCAGGAAGGAGGGACAACTGGGGGAGGCGCTACTGGCTCTCTCACTGCCTCACTCCTTTTCATTCTCCGCCATACTCCTTTTTTCTCTCAATCCATCCCAGGTGGAAGGGCTAGTTGCAGCAGCACGGGTGCAGGGCCTCTCATTCTCCCCGCCGGTTACCGCATGCTGATAGACGTGCTGGGGAGGGGGGGACGACTGGGGGAGGTCCTACTACTGCTCTCCCTGCCAAAATTTTCTCCATTCTCCCCCATGTCCCCATCCCTTGTTCTCTCGACCCGCCCTCAGGTGGAAGGGCTAGTTGCAGCAGCACGGGTGCAGGGCCTCTCATTCTCCCCGCCGGTCTACCGCATGCTCATAGACGTGCTTGGGAGGGGGGTGCCAGCTGGGGAAGGCGCTTCTGCTGCTCTCACCGCAACACTCCCTTTCCACTCGCCCCCATCTTTCCATTCCTCACTTGCAGTTGAAAGGGCTAGTGGCAGCAGCACGCGCACAGGGCCTCTCATTCTCCCCGCCGGTCTACCACATGCTCATAGACGTGCTTGGGAGGGGGGTGCCAGCTGGGGAAGGCGCTTCTGCTGCTCTCACCGCAACACTCCCTTTCCACTCGCCCCCATCTTTCCATTCCTCACTTGCAGGTGAAAGGGCTAGTGGCAGCAGCACGCGCACAGGGCCTCTCATTCTCCCCGCCGTTCTACCGCATGTTGATAGACGTGCTTGGGAGAGGGGGACGACTGGGGGAGGCACTACTGGTGCTGGAGGAACTGAAGAGGGTGCACCCGGGGCATGGCAACCTTTCAGCTTACAATACTCTGCTGCTGGTGAGATGTTTGAGATATACACGTTATAAGGTGCCTCAAGATGGGATGAGGGATTCTTAAAAGCTGTTGGCTGGGGGAGGCACTGCTGTAGTTGGGGGAGCTGAAGAAGGTGCACCCGGGCATGGCAACCTGTCGGCCTATAACACTCTGCTGCTGGTGAGTTCTATACTCGTTATCAAGTGCCTCAAGATGGGAGAATGAGAGCTAGAGGAGGCGCTGCTGGTGTTGGAGGAGCTGAAGAGAGTGCACCCGGGGCATGGCAACCTGTCGGCTTATAACACGCAGCTGCTGGTGAGTTCTATACTCGTTATGAAGTGCCTCAAGATGGGAGCGATGAGAGCTAGAGGAGGCGCTGCTGGTGCTGGAGGAACTGAAGAGGGTGCACCCGGGGCATGGCAACCTGTCGGCCTATAACACTCTCCTGCTGGTGAGAATTCTACTCGTTATATGGTGCATACTCGTTATAAGGTACTTAAAGATGGCAGCAAGCTAGGGGAGGCGCTGCTGGTGTTGGAGGAGCTGAAGAGAGTGCACCCGGGGCATGGCATTTGTCTGCTTACAACACTCTCTTGTTGGTGAGTTGTGGTGGTGTACTCGTTATAATATGCATAATATGAAGAGGTTCCTCTAAATGGGAGTAATGAGAGAGGGGGGAGGCTCTGCTGGTGTTGGAGAAACTGAAAAGGGTGCATCCGCGACATGGCAACCCGTCAGCCTATAACACTCTCTTGCCGGTGAGTTGTGCTAGTGTACTCGTTATAAGATGCCTCAAGATGAGTGAGGAACTATTAAAGGCTGCTGGCTGGGGGAGGCACTGCTGGTGTGGAGGAACTGAAGAGAGGGTGCATCCGGGACATGGAAACCTGTCGGCCTATAACATTCTGCTGCTGGTGAGTGGTGTACTCGTTATAAGGTGTTACTCGTCATGTAAGGTGCTTTGAGATGGGAGCAATGAATGCTTGTTGACTGAGGGAGGCGCTGCTGCCGTTGGAGCAACTGAAGAGTATGCTGGTGATTCACACTCCCTTCCCACCCCTCTCCCCCATCCACACGTCCCTTACCCATGCCCCTCCCCACCCTTCTCCACCCATCCTCACGCCTCTCAGGCCCTGCAAGACGCCCATCCAGAGCACATGTTCGCAGTGCTAGCACTCCCCTACCCCTCCCCTCCTCATTCTCCTCCCCTGATCAGGCCCTGCAAGACACCCATCCAGAGCACATGTTCGCTGTGCTGGCTCTCATGGCGTCTCAACGATGAATTGTTGACCCCCTCTCCCTTCCCCACCCTTCCCGCTCACTGTGCGCCTCTCATGCTTCCCCATTCCCTCAGGCGTTACAAGACGCACATCCAGAGCACATGTTCGCTGTGCTGGCTCTCATGGCGTCATAACACATGTTGGTAAATCTAGTTCTTTCCCATTCACCCCCCGCCCCCACAACGAACCTCCCCCTGCCTCTCAGGCCCTCCAAGACGCCCATCCAGAGCACGTGTTTGCAGTGCTGGCTCTCATGGCATCTCAGCGTGTGCTGGTGACTCCACTCCCTTCCCCACCTTTCCTATGTCCTTCCACACCGTTCCCCACCCTTTCCCATGCCCGTCAACTCCTATCCACACCCCTCAGGCCTTACAAGACGCCCATCCAGAGCACATGTTTGCAGTGCTAGCACTCATGGCGTCACAGCGCGTGCTGCCCAATCGCAACAGCCTGGGTGCCATGCTGGCAGCGTGTGAGGCTGCCAACTCGCCACGTGGCGCTGCCAGGGTGTACCTCAGCGTGGTTGACACGTGGCGCGACGGGATTGGCCGCGAGGGAGGTGGAAGTGGTGGGGAGGATGGGGAGGAGTGGGAGGGAGAGGAAGGGGAAAGAGGGGAGATGGTTGATGCGATTCTCAGGGCAGTGGAAAGCTTTGGTGAGCAGGGGGAGATGCTTATGAAAGGGGAGGAGGGGCAGGAGCAGGAGGAGCAGGAGCAGGAGCAGGAGCAGGAGGGGGAGGGGGAGGGGGGGGCGCTGCAAAATCAGCAGCAGCAAGGGCAAGAGCAACGGCAACAGAAAGAACAACAGCAGCTGAAAGAGCAAGAACAAGAGGGACGACAAGGACCCTGCATGGAGATCGGACAGCAGAAGCCGCAGCAGAAAGAGCAACAGCAGCAGCAGCAGCAGCAGGAGGAGGAGGAGGAGCAGCAGTGGCAGCAGCAGCAACAACAACAACAGCAGCAGCAGCAGCAGCAGCAGCAGGAGGAGCAGCAGGAGGAGCAGCAGGAGGAGCAGCAGGAGGAGCAGCAGGTGCCGCAGAGCCTGAACATGGAGAGGGCGGAGTGGGTGATGGGGCTGCAGCAAGAGAGGCAGCAGCAGCGATCGCGACGGGGCCAGCAGCAGGAGAGGGGTGGACAGCAGAAGCAACAGCAGCAGCAGCTTCAGCAGCAGCAGCAGCAGCAGCAGCAGCAGCAGAAGCAGCAGCAGGTTCAGAAGCAGAAACAGCAGCGGCAGAAGCAGCAGGAGAAGAAGCAGCAAGAAGAGCAGCAGGAGAAGGAGCAACAGGGGCCGAGGAGCCCCAGTATGGAGATGGCGGAGAGGGTGGTGAGGCTGTGCCGCGAGGGGCTGCTGGCAGGGCAGGCCGTGAAGGTGCTGGAAGGGCTGCTGGCCAATGGGATCGTGCCATCTGTCAAGTGCTACAGTGATGTTATCCATTGTGAGTCATAATTATACAAGGTTTCAGATCTTCAGCTTTCAGGTCCTTTCAGGTGCTTTCAGGTGCTTTCAGGTGCTTTGAGTTCACTCAGAAGCTCTCTCTCTCTTCCTTGAGGGAACGATGTATGCTAGTTTTCTTTCCTCCTCCATTTTTCTCTCCTACCCATCCCATCAGGTCAATCATCTCTCGACCAATGGCAGCAAGCCCTCGCCACCCTCGCCCAAGCTCTCTCTCTCAGCATAATCCCCTACTCCCCCTTTCATACGCTGCTCTTCTCTTTCTCATCTTCCCCTCCATCAGGTCAATCATCTCTCGACCAATGGCAGCAAGCCCTCGCCACCCTCTCCCAAGCTCTCTCTCTCAGCGTCACCCCCTACTCCTCCTTCCATGCTCCCACATTCCTTCTCTCTTCACTATCTGCTTCCATCTCTTGTCCCTTTTCCCATCCCATCAGGTCAATCGGCTCTCGGCCAATGGGAGCAAGCCCTCGCCACCCTCTCCCAAGCTCTCTCCCTCAGCATCACCCCCTATTCCTCCGCCCTCCTCGCCCTCGCCCACTCTCTCGCCACCACCGGCAAAGAGCAAGAAACCTACCAAGTCCTTCGGGTCTACTTCACCCATACACGCTCTGTTGACCTAGCTGTGTTCTGGGGAGTGGGGATGCAAGTGCTGGCAGCAGCAGGGGAGGAGGAGAGATTGGAGAGGATTGAAGGGCTGGTGGGGCCGTTTGGCTTTCAGATGGATATGGGTGTGGGTCTGGGTGTGAGCATGAGTATGCTCTGTCCTGCGCAGCCGGTGCTGCGGTATGAAGGCATTGGCGAGGAGTTCAGTGCGGTGACGGCGACCGCGACAGAGACAGCGACGCTGCTGGAAGAACAGGAGGAGCAGCAGCGGCAGCAGCAGCAACCGTTCACCCCTCGATCTTTCTCGGACAGCTATTCTAGTGATAAGAGCGATGAGAGTGATCAGCATGCTGCTCAGGCCCTTCCCTACACTTACTCCAGCGACCTCCTCCTCCTCTCCTCCCTCCTCTCCATCCACATCGACCGGGGCAATTTCGACGACGCATTGCACACCGCGCAATTCATAGTCAACGAGCGTCTAGACGAGCACCTCTATAACGAGTACATGGAACAGGACAGCCTCTCCCGCGGGTCGATTGTGGCCGGCGCAGTGCTGAGCCGAGCCGACCCGGCGTTCTTCCCTCTGGTGATCGGGTTTTTCCGGCTGGCGAGGCTGATTCCGGTGGTGGAGGGGAGGACGAAGCAGCATCTGTCGGTGCTGCTGCTGCTGCTCATGTCGCAGGCTGTGCGGTGTGGGGCCCCCCCGCTGGTCTCGGGGTTTCTGGTTTCTGCGTGGGCTAAGGCGAATCAGGAGGAAGGGGAGTCTCCTGTTGTGAGGGAGGAGGGGGGAGGGAGGGTAGGGAGGGGAGGGAGAGGGGGAGGGGGAAGGGGACGGGGTGGGGGAGGGAGAGGAGGAGGGAGGGGGGGTGGAGCGAGGGGCGGGAAGGGGAGGAGGGCGGGGGGGGAAGGGCAGGGGCAGGCGAGTAAGGGGTTTGGAGGGAGAGGGTTTGAGAGAGATAAGAAGGGGTTTGAGAAGGAGAAGAAGGGGTTTGGAGGCCTGAGGAGACCGAAACAGATGGTGCAAGGAGCAGGGGGGACAGGAGCAGGGGGGGTGGAGGGAATGGGGGGTAGTGAGGGAGAGTGGGTGCTGCTGGCCTCAATGGAATGGGAGGGTAGAAGCGGGAGTGAGGGTAGTGATGGGAGTGAGGCGGAGGAAATTAACGGTGGCAATAATACCCGCAGCAGCAGTTCCGCCAGACGCCCACGTGCTAACGTGGATCCAAACAGTGCTGCTGATGTGGATCCGGGCAGTGCTGACATGGCGAACAAGAATACCTCCAGCAAGGAAGACGCTGACCTGGACGAGCTCGTCGACGACATCGACAGCAACACCGACCCGGCATTCATGCACGTCCCACCGCGCATTCTCACTGAATTCCGCTCATTCCTCACCCTCCCGCCCTGCCCCATCGAATCTTCCCGTGCCGTTGCCAACTCCATTATCGATACGGCCTACTCCCTGGGCCTCACCCAAGCGGCTGCAGATTTTTTCCACGCAGCGAACGAGGCTCGGATGTTCCCGGACCTGTTCCGCGTGGAACGGGATTCTCTGGTGCTGTCGCTCAGGCTCGTGTCGCCGGCCGGGGCTGAGGTGGTGGTGGCCGGATTCTTCTGCACCTGGTGCGAGCAATCTGGACCGTTGCTCTCGTTGATCTTGCGTCAGACCGGTCTAGATTCGCTGGATGAGTTCGGAGTTACTGAGGGTTTACGGGACCCGATTCCGGGGTTTAGGGATCCTATGGGGGGGCCAAGGGTGAGTGTGGGGGCTAGTTTAGATCCCGATTTTGAACTTCTTGAGAATCTGTCTGAACTGGGGAGAGCGACTGGGAGTGGAGGTGGAAGGCTGGGAGTGGGGGGTGGGGGAGTGAGGGAGGTTAGGATAGAGATTCCTGGGGAGGATGAGAGAGTGTATGAGCGAGAGGGAGTGCGGATGGGGGTGCGGAAGGCAGTGAAGATGCTGGAAGTGCCTGGGGAGGTGGAGGAGGGGGAGGAGGCGTGGGGATGTGTGTGGAGATGTGGGGTTGATAAGATGGAGGCATGGGGGAAGTGGTTCAGGGAAAAGAATGAAGCGAATTTCTATACCCCAAACCCTAAACGAGAAATCCTAGATGTAAGGAATTAGAATTCCTTACTGTAGTAAGTTGTTAGCGAGGACATCCCGAGGGTGTCGCGACGAACCTGCGATGCCTATTTCGTCGCACCGAACCACCCCCGAGTCGGCCTCCGCTCCAATCGTGGCCATCACCGAGCCATCCCATCCCGAACCCCCCCTCCTAGCTAGGTTTTCCCCTATTCAGGCCTCGCTACTTCATTGTTCAATCATTCTGTAATTTCTCATTCTCGTTATTCGATATCCGCGCACTCTGACAAGTTCATTCATAACACCTGGTATCAGAGCTACTTTCCTAGCCTACCCCGCTTTTTAGAGTGTAATACCCCTCGGGGGGGGGACGAGTAAGGATGCCTTGGGGTCCAGGAGTTGTTTAGTTGCTCTTCGCGGCCATGGTTTTACGGGGCACTCCTTCGGCACCGCCAGATCCTTAGCTCGACGGTCGCGATCGACCATGACCTCCCTCCCCCCGGGCGACGGGCAGCAGTAGCTGTCGCGACATTAAAGTGAGTAATTTCCGCTGCGATTTCCGACGATTTCGGAGCTTGATTCGTGTGGCAGCCTGCGTCAGCGGACCTGCGTCGGCACCTGCACGAACAGCATCGACGTCGTCATCACGAGTGGCAGCTGGCGTTGGCGGATCTGCGTCAACAGTTGCGCGAAGATTTCGGAGTCGTCCCTACGCGGCAAGTGACGTCGATGGCAAGCCGTCATCTTGTGCGCGAGATTCTCGGGAGAATCTTCGGCAGCTGGCGACAACGGGCCTGCGTCAGCATGGGCGACAATTTCGGAGGTTTCTACTGTGAAGAAAAGGGCAGCTCGAAGGACTCGCCAGGCGCAAATGGAGTTTTGCGTCAGAGGATCCCGACGGCTGGAGAGATAGACGCTCAAGCCGCCCGAATTATGCGGGGGTTGAGTTTTATCCCGTCCGACCGGATAGTGCGGCGCTTACCGTACTGGCGGGCGAGTCGTCGACGATTTTCGGCAGAAGTGCTTGTGGACAGACGGGAACTTTGGACCCGCCGACACTTACGGGCTGCAACAGACAACGACGTGGCTAAATCGCACTTAGCAGGAGTGGGGCGCAGGCGCGAGGGCATATCGGGACTGAACACCCGAGAAATACTCGTTTGTTGCTGCGTGCCTGGAGCTGCTTGCCAGCTGTTCGACAGTTTCGAGATCGGTTTCCCCGTTCAAGGAAGCCGTTTTCGGGGACAGCCGCAACAGCCCACGATTAAACGGTGTTCAACGTGCCACCCCGACAATTTCGGAGTGTGGTGCAGGCCGCCGGGACACGCGTGAAGAAACTGCCCAACGGCTAAGCGGGGGTTGAAGAACGTCGTGGGGAGCAGATAAAAGCCGGTGGAACCGATCTGCGGCCCTACTTCGCCCGAACCTCACCATCCCCACCGATTACTGGTTCCGACTCATGCAGTCGACCTTATTCGGATGAATAACGGGGGTGAACACGAGCCTACCCTGCGCTGGTTAAAAGCACCTGGTTTGGTGCCCGTTCGACAGCTGTACAGAAAAGACAAAAAAGGGGAGTTGCGGCACTGTTCTACTCCGACAAAAGCGGGCTGGGTGAAACAGCACGCGAAAAAATCGGGGCGCCGCAGGACAACACTGGTGCAGTTTACAGGTTTCCTCTGACCCGGGCGTCTACACGAGGTGACGGCGCAGCGGCGAAGCTGGGACCGGAAGCTGTGGAATTTTAGTGGCGCGACGGGCACGGTGGGCTGCGAAGCGGTTGGGACTGATTTCCTTTTAACTAAGGCAACCCCGACTCCGATAGTCTTTTCTTCTCCACCGTGGCTGGGGTTCGCGCAGGGCAACACCGACAATACCCCATCCGACAAAAGCGGACGCTGGGTGAACGGCGGGAAGTGGAATGTTCGGGGGGTGTGAAACGACAAAAAAAAAAGTATGAAGCTGAGGGTGTTTCTTCGTTTCTTGGAGTGCGGTTGAGTCGCTGGGGGACTTCGCCTGAAGGGCGCTTTTCGAAGTTGCCTGGCAAGAAACACAGCGGCAAGGATTCCTAGGACCCTTGGTGTTTAAACGCACACCTCGGGAAATTCTTCAAAAAAGGGAAGCGTGGGAGCAGTCGTAGCTTCGGGAACTTATCGGCCGGCGACGAGCGATGGGTGAAACATCTGCAAAGCGCTGGTGGGAGAAACAGGGAGTTTTTGTTAAACGACATCGGCGGGAGCAGCTTCGACTACGGAGGTCAACGGCGTTGATGCCTCTAGGTTCCGTGAAATTCGGTCTCGGAAGACCCAGGGCAGTCCCCGGTTAGACATTTGAAATCATCAGCGGTCAACGCGAGCTCTGACCGTCCGATCAACATCTGCTCGATCAACGGCTCTGTTTCCAACCTTCAATTCGAATTGGTCCACTTCATCTTCGACCGTCAGATCGAGACCTGACTACATCAACGGCCTACATTCCAACTTTTTCAAAAATATCGCCCAAGGGATTTCAGCCGTCGGATTCAGCTGAAAGGGAGATCAACGGCGTACTCATTACGGAAGGCTTCGGTCTACATACAGGGAGGGCTTATTTGGAAGGTGGGAGAGTGTAAGGAATTAGAATTCCTTACTGTAGTAAGTTGTTAGCGAGGACATCCCGAGGGTGTCGCGACGAACCTGCGATGCCTATTTCGTCGCACCGAACCACCCCCGAGTCGGCCTCCGCTCCAATCGTGGCCATCACCGAGCCATCCCATCCCGAACCCCCCGCCTAGCTAGGTTTTCCCCTATTTAGGCCTCGCTACTTCATTGTTCAATCATTCTGTAATTTCTCATTCTCGTTATTCGATATCCGCGCACTCTGACAAGTTCATTCATAACATTAGACCTGGAACCATGGACACTGGAAATGATGATCTCTTGTTATTGCATTTACGTGAGTGCTGGTTGTCAAATGTTGTAGCCTATAGTGAGGTTTGTCTTAGGGGGTACAAAACTTAGGGTTAGCTATATGTACCCCAACCAACATCAATGCATCATCCATTCCTCATTTTGACATGGTATCAGTTAGGTTAGGATCCTGTGGGATCCCGTTCCTCCGTTCTCCGTTCGTATCTCCCGAGCCTGATCCTACCTCTCGTTCGTACCGGTTCCGTTGTTACCGCGCCTAGTGCCGAGCCTAGCGCCCTTCCCCCCGTCGCCTAGCGCCCTTTCCCCCCCGTCACGTCGCGCCCTTTTCCCCCGTTGCGTCGCGCCCGTTCCCCCCCGTCGAGTCGCGCCCTTTCCCCCCGTCGCGTCGCGCTCTTTCCCCCCGTCGCGTCGCGCCCTTTCCCACCGTCGCGTCGCGCCCTTTCCCCCCGTCACGTCGCCCTGCCCCGTCCCGTTGCCCCTGCCCCGTCCCGTCGCCCTACCCCGTCCCGTCCCGTCGCCCCGTCCCGTCCCGTCGCCCCTGCCCCGTCCCGTCCCCGTCCCGTCCCGTCGCCCTGCCCCGTCCCGTCCCGTCCCGTCCCGTCCCGCGGCCCTGCCCCGTCCCGTCCCGTCGCCCCGTCCCGTCCCGTCGCCCCTGCCCCGTCCCGTCCCCGTCCCGTCCCGTCGCCCTGCCCCGTCCCGTCGCCCCGTCCCGTCTCCCTACCCCGTCGCGTCGCCCTCCCCCGTCGCGTCGCCCTGCCCCGTCGCATCGTGCCCGCCCTTTCCCCCGTCCCGTCGACCCTACGCCCTGGCCCGTCGCTCTAGCCCGCTCTTCCGCTGCGACTAAGTCCCACCTGAACCCTAATTTGCCTCTTACCTCCTGCTGTTACTCGCCTGCTCGTTCGCGTTAGTTTTCGCTATGGCGACTCCGCGAGTTCTTCGTTTCGACGCTGACGGCAGACCTCTTGACTTTTCCGTCTGGCTCCTTCGCGCTCGCCGTCTGTTAGAGAGTCAAGTCCAGGGGGGCGAGACCCTCTGGTCGCACGCTACTGGTGACCTCCCCGAGCCCCCCGAGCCTGCCGCTTTAGGTCCTGCCCCTGACGATGCTGCTACGGCTCGCTTTGCCCGTCAGCGCGCTGACAGGACGGCTTGGACGTCGCGTGACGCTGCGGCCTGCATCGCACTCAGCAGCCTCCTCCCTGAGTCAGAGGAGGTCCACTTCACTCAGGTTCGCACCGCTGCTGCGTACCTCACTGCGATTAAGGCCCGCTACTCTACTCCCGCTACTGTCTCTCTTGGCCGTCTTTTCCTCCCGTTCCTGTTTCCTGATCTCGCCTCGTTTGAGCGCTCTGCTGACTTGATCGCTCACCTCCGCTCGCTCGACGCTAGTTACCGCGCTGCTTGCACTGAGGCACAGCTTGCACTGCTTCCTCCCCCCATGGCGATTACTATCTATTTCATCGCCACTAGCCTCCCTGACCGCCTTGCCTCCGTACGTGACGCGCTCCTGCTGAAGCACCCTAGTGAGCTGACAGTTGAGGTCCTTGAGTCTGCGCTCAAGGACGTCGAGAGCAACCTTCGCTCGGTAGCTGCCGCCTCTGGTGCTGTGCCCCCCCCACTCTTCCACGGGTGCACAGTCCCGCAGTTACCCACCTTCACTGCCTCTCTTGCCACTGCCGCTACTGACGCGACTGCAGCTGCTGTTACGACTGCGTCGCGGTCCCGCGGCAAGGGGGGCAAGAAAGGTGGTTCTGGTGGAGGTGGAGGCGGAGGTAGCGGAGGTAGTGGGGGTGCTGTTGCGACTGGCGGTGGTGGGAGTGCAGCGTCTGGAGAGACCTCTCGTGCAGCGGCTGGTGACTCCACTGCGCCTGCTGGTGGTGGCGACACCCGAGCTCGTCAGTCGTCTCCTGTACTGCCGGCCCCGCTAGGTGGAGCAGCGGCATGGTACCAGGCTCAGCGTCAGCAGCGGCTTCAGCAGCAGCAGCAGCCCCTCTCCTCCCAGCAGCCTCAGCAGCAGCAGCGTCAGCAGCTGGCTCCGGGGTCGGGGCTGCGTCAGCCCCAGCGTGGTGCTGCTTACCCTCCCTGCACCTATCAGGTTCTGACAGGTCCTCGTCGGGGCCACCCTTGTGGCCGCTT